ATTCGAGCAAGACGCAGTTAGTAACTGCACGAATTGGTTTGCGATAGATCTCGGCGAACCGAATCGGCCGGTGGTATTCAGTTCAATACTTTACTGATTATATGCATAATTCGAGTTAATCCGCGCCCATGGCGATAATCAGTCTGCGGCGATCGTTACCCAGCATCATCGACAGGAACCCACCATCGCGCATTGCGATATAGCCTCTCTAATATTTCCTACAACCAAGGCCGACCATCGACCTTTGGAAATATGGCCTTGTGGCCTTTCCGCCGCAGGGGCTCGCGCAAGCGATCTCGAACGCCAGCCCTTGGTTCCGATGCCGACACTTCAGAGCGTGGTCGTCAACCGCAACCACCATCGCGAACTCAGACCGAACCCGTCGATATTACAACAGGCAATGAGTCCCTAAGAGGAAATCGAGATGGTCCTCACAAGTTGCAACGGCGTCAACGTACCTATAGCTTCTCCCCCGGGCGTCGAGACTCCATACGCGTTGCCAAGACAAAAAAGGGACCGGTTGCATCGTTACCTGCTGACTCTATACCGACCGTCGCAGATGAAGCATATAGGAGTCACGGACTGCCACCGGGGTCCAACGACGATCTCGCGACTCGAGTGCCGACTTTGCATCATGAGAACTCACGAAACAAACGGCGGGGCCAGCCTTTGCCACGAAAAAAGTCCAGTAAACGCCGGAAAGAGGACCATAGCCGGGAGGCTGAAATCAAGGCTATGAGCCAGTTTATGCCAGTACGCCCTGCTGCGGACGCCTGGCCAGCTGGCCGCTTAATGAAAAGGGAGAGCAGACGGACAAGGCCGGGTTCACGCAGGAACTGGGATGAACCTTCCTCCGATATTTCATTGCCTATGCCTCGCTCTATCCATTCGGCTATGTCGACGGACTCGGAACAACTCTCTTGGAAGGTCTCTGTCTTCGAGGCTCTTGCACCTCGCCCGACACTGCGATGTGCTTCCAATCCTGTTTATGGACCAGCAGCCAGCAGTGCGTTAACCCGATCTCAGTCCACGAAGCGAAAGCTTGCAGAAAGGAGCCCAATTCCCGAAGCCACACTCCGAGCCCATAAGAGGATTGATAATCTAGCGGACGACTTAGATGCATCAGATCTACGGGAATTGATGGAGCGAGACAAGCGGAGGAGAGAAAGGAAGAAAGAAAAAGAACGTGAAAGGATAGAGAGACGTCTCGCTAGGAGAGCAGAGAAGCAGCGAGCAGAAGAAGCCGAGGCTGTTAAGAGCGGTACTCCACCGCCCCAAAATCTGGAAAGAGGTGTTCTAGGTCGTGAAATAGCTGGCGAAGATCCGGCTTCAGTAGTTATCACATCATCGAGAAGGAGACGCTCGGACGACTCGCCACAGAGACATAGCAGGCAGCAGGAGGAATTGGAAACCCGTGGGGATTCACCAAAACCTCTAGATGAGTTCCATCGCACAGAAAGTATTCCCCTTGAGCCGTCAACTCCAGCTAAGGCTCCAGAATCCGAGCAAGTGCCCGAGTCTTCCCAAAAGCAGCATCAGCAGCCATCTTCGCGCTCCTCGAGCCCGAAAATTTTAAGTTTCATTCGTACAAGGACATCGCGCTCGAGGTCACCCAAAGATTCCGCCCGAACTAGGGCTGATGTTGAACAACCTTCACCTTCATTAACTAAGCTAGACTATGCAGAGTCTGGTAGCAGGGTTTCTGATGCCGGCTCCTCGAAACCATGGAGGTCATTCTTCAGATGGGGTAAGAATAAGCGCAGTTCCGGCCCGTCATCTTTTTCGAACACTTCGCGAGATTCCATGTCAGCAGGCCCACCGCCAGCACACCAAAATTACGTACCGCGAAAAATTAGCTCAGGCGTACCCAAGAGAACTATGTCTCGTTTCCGAGAGGACCTCCCCGAGTTGCCTATATCCCCCCCGGACTCGCGAGTGGCATCCCCTGATGCCGATCCTCTACCTGTGGACCCCCTGCCCGCAATCCCTGATGACGTGCAGATGCGCTATGATACGCCAACATCGGGCCGTCGATCACACGACGTTATGCGAGCGACTCCTATTTCCTGGCAGCGAGATGAAATCCAGTCGTCGCCGGCGCCACATTCTATGTCGCTCGCCTCTATCGATTCGGAGGCATCTTGGCTCTCGGGCCGCATTAATAGGAAGCGAGCCTCATCGGGTATGAGAAACTCGCTTCAACAGTATGCTCAACCTGCTTTCTCTACGGAATGTGAGGAGCATGCTTCAGACGACGAGAATATCGTCGAGGATGAGTATATGAATAGCGTCGTCCCCACTCACTCACATGAAAAATCTACAGGCGAAGCTCGTCCGAGCAGCGATGAGGAAGATGAAGACCGTGAAGCTAAGTGGGGTGCTGTTGGTCAGACACCCACCGTGCACCACAGAGATACCATGCGAAGCAGAGAAGGCTTTCTTCAGTCTTTTGATGACGATGATGAGAAAGATCTCGAGAAATACAGCGACGATGAGGAAGAGGGTCAAAGTCCTGTTCAACCGCAGAGAGCAACTAGCGTTAACCTTGATAAGGGTCATGCTAGGAACTTCAGTGCGGGTAGCGCTAAGCTGCTAGAGATATCCCCTCGCGCATCTAGTGAGAACAGGCAGAGTTTAGTCGACCGTGGCACTCAGTAGTGCCATACGCTGACTAGGAACGAGTGGGTTGACACTACTTGGCACCAAATATTTCAACACAAAATAGGTGCACGATTTAAGCCAGGAGATACGATTGACATTCATTTCCCCTTCCCTTACGTTTACATACGACCAACAACTACCAGCTCAACCACATTCATTTGACATTTCCTTCCTCTCTCAGATACCGACCTTATTCACTCATTACGACCTTTCTTTTCATGTTTCAACACATAAAACACCACGAAAAAAAGTTGAAAAAGAAAAAAAGTATCCGGTCTATCTCCTGGCTCAATGATCGGAATATTACACCCTTTCAGGGTCAACCAAGAAAATGGAAATCCCCAGCTTCATTACCCAGCCAAATGCGCTACCCTCATTAAACATTTCGATGTGCATATCACTCCCACGATATGCCATGCGTCTCTATCGACTTCTTTACTTCATATTTCCAGAAACATGTGGAGGAGGGGTAAAATATGGCTTGTTTTTTTTATTCTTGATATACCGCGATACCACAGGGGTTATGTGTTTTTATTGCGCGTGGCTTTGCTATCTGTTTTTGATACCACTCATATTCTGCTGCAGCGCAGGGGTTCATGAGGCGTCCAGAGAGATGCCCACAGTCAGTGATGCATAGATGTCTTCTCACACACTGACCGACCTAAATTTCGATAGCTTGTACTTCGGTCTATTCGAATTGATACCTCTTAGGCAGGGCTAAGGATTCGTGCATGCTAGGCAAGCGCATCAAATCCACAATATTCTCGTGGGATTATTTGATGTTAACTCACATGCTCTTATGGGAGACTACTGGGAGTTTACTAGCTAACCCGATCGCAATGCGTTTTTCGGTTTTCGAATAGACATGCTTGGGTGAAGGGGCCTAGGTTGGCGAGCAGGCAAGGGAACAGGTGTTCAGGATTGGGAAAAATTAGATGTTCGAATCAAACTAGAGGTGTTCGGGAATATCTGCGAGGCCGACTTGGGCCATTTATACCCTTGCCTTGCCTGTAACGTCGGAGTTTAGGTTGGTCACATTGTGTACATGTATGAAGTATAATGCTTGTAGACTTGCGAGCTAGAGAAGAACATTTGTTTTCGATCAATTTCATCGAGGGCCAATTCAGTTGTGAAATATAGTCTTATATGATCGCCATCGGATTCATGCAGACCCCCCTGGTATGTATTCAAGGACTTGTAAATCCGGACGCCTGGTTCTCGCACATCAGCACTTTCTTTAGTGTAACCCAAAGGATCACGGGTATGCAGTAAGATAATTTGGAATTTGGAATTTGGTTAACCATGCAGAACCGTCATATTCAAATTGTGACGTGTCGAATGCTATTATAAGTTGGTCATGTATATTTCAGAGCAAAAGATTACCACGTGATTAATAACCTTTTTTATTATTTATGGTTATTTTCAACGCCGCGGACATAACAAGCGATAGTCCTTTACTAATACTATTTACGAGATATGCGATTTGGAATATTTTATGGAATCAAATTTACAATGGTCGGGGAAATATTTTAGATCACGCATGGATTAACTGCCAAACGCCACGAAACGCAGGCTAAAGCGCGTTATAAGCCACACTTAAAAAGGATAAAAATCACGTCATGAAAAGAACTGACAAATCAAAATTTACATCATCAGCTAGAAAGAGGTAGTTTGCCTTATTTAAACAGTAACACTCGATCTATTCGGCAACGCATTATTGATCCGAGTAGTGTACCTAGGTACCATAGCGGAGGTGGGGGGTTTTAGGGAACGGTTCCACCCACGAAATGGTTCCGTATGGTGTAACGTTTTTAAGTTTTAAAGCTTTTGATTGGTTGGATCTGGATATTAGTGGGGCTGATTTTTATTTTTAAAATTTTACGTTGTAAAAACCGTTTTTTAACTGTAAAACCATTCCATTTTATATAATCGTTATTTGTATTATAATCGTTTTAATTGTTTTTATTGTAAAAAGTTAAAAAAAAAAAATTTTTAAAATTTTTTTTTTTAAATTAAAATTGTACTTTTTTCGAAATAAAAGTTATAAAAGCTAAAATTAAATAAATTACATTTTAAAATAATTTAATAAAATTGGTTACTTTGTTTTATTAATTTAAACGTTTAAATTTTAAATTTTATTAATTAATAATAAAGTTTACGGTTATATAAACGTAAAAGTTATGGGTTTAAAAACTAATTTTTTTTAATTTTTTTGACTTTTACTTTATTTTTCACGTAAAAATCACGTGGAAGTCACGTGAAAGTCACGTGAATAGTAAAATCGTTTTATTTTACGAAACCATTTCATTTTTTAGAATTATTTTATTTTATAAAATGTACCAACCTAATTATAATGATATTTGTATATAAAATAATATCAAAAATCGGAATAGTTGTATAGACCCACCAAGCTCCGCTATGGTAGGTAGGCACGCATCAATTACGCACCTACGAAACACAAGCTTACAATTACATTTTTTGGCACAGCCTTGCCCCCTTCCCGTTCCTTAGAGCTAATACAGATACATAAAACCCACCAACACCCCGCGTCTTTTTCCCACTTGCAAATCAATTTTTCCCCTCCATGTCAAGAAACTTATTCCGAACAGCCCAGTCTACTTCTAGGCAATCTCTTTATAGACCGTCGCATATCTCATCATTGAGGCAGTTTCATACTACGTCGCCCAGAATGACTGTACACAACTACCAGACGTAAGTCGCATATGTGTTTAAACCCTTCCCGAGACAAAAAAAAGCGGCTGCATTAGACCTAATATACCCCGCGCTATTATATGCTCCGTGTCTCCGATATGTCGACGGCATGCTAACATTGCGCAAAGCGCCGACTCCTTCAAGGAGGCCGTCAAAGTTAACAAGGTCGTCCTGCTCGATTGCTTTGCCACCTGGTGCGGTCCTTGCAAGGCCATTGCTCCTATCCTAGCGAAGTGAGTTCCAGATCCGAAATCCCTCATAAGCGAGGCGCTATATATTACTGCGCGCCGAATTAGAGCTTCTCTATATCATTATCGCCTAAAACCCTTATACCCAGGGTGACGCGTCGCTAACCATGTATAACGATAGCCACTCGAACGAGGAGCAGTTCAAGGACATCCATTTCGCCAAGATCGACGTCGACGACCTGCCCGACCTAGCCCAGGAGCTCGGAGTCACCGCCATGCCTACCTTCCTGCTCTTCAAGGACGGCGAGTTGGCGCCTGCTGAGAAGCTCGTCGGCGCGAACCCTAACGCGCTCGTTACGCTTCTCAAGAAGAACGCCGCCTAATTGGTGACCCATTCGTTGGGTGGGGTCGGTCGGTTGAGAACGAAGTATGAATAGAGGGGCGTACGAACTTGGCGTCGGCCGAGAAAGGATATCCCACAGAGTTCGAGGTCGCATTCATCGGCACGGGTGGTCGCGGAGGAGGCTTTGTCGCGCTCATGCGTATGGTTTCTGCTTTGTGAATAGAGTAGGGTTTACCCAAACCTGAATGAATGAATAATTCCTACTGCACAGAGTATTTCAGCCATGATGTCTTGTGATATCGATATCGACGGAGCGGCGAATGTCTTTTAGGTAATATTTGTAAGTTGATATTGTCGAAGACATCGGGTGATGAAGCCTGATCGCTTACTGGTAGTGACATATTCAATCTTTAGAATCGAAAAAGTGAAGATGAAAGGCTAATAGCTGTTTTTATGCAATGTAGAAACTATTTAACATGTCTTCTTATATTACTTCCAAGCGGAAGACAGTATCCAATCCTCATCTACTAATATAGTAGGAGTTTATTACGGTATATATTTATTAAAGTTGACGAACTAAGATTGGGCATACGTTTAATTTGCGCTGCTTAATGGATGATATAAGTAACCTCGACTAATAACTAAACTTGAGAATGGTTATGTATCATTTTACCCGCACTTGATGATGTAGCCAGTAGTCTTATGTTACAAACTCATCTTTTCATGAACTTTTATAATACGTAATAGTTAATAGATACCTAGCTTTCCTTTTACTTTTATCAGGACGCTTACTTCATTTTCTAGGTCGAGTTTATAAGAAATTGGGTTTACTCAACCTACCTTACCAGGTAGGTGTTTATAAGTACATCGCATTTAACCCTATAATCATAGATTTAAGTAGAGTTTACATTTATAGGTGAGGGTAGTTTGGGTAAAGGAAAGAACTGTAAACTATATAAATTCTACGCTTGAGAAAGTCGAACGAACCGAGCTTATTCTGAGGTTGGTAGGAGGCGTGGGAACAATTATGTTATTCCGCAATAGGGCCTCAAACCCAATTATTCATTCCAGATAACTTGTTTAAAATACTGATGGCGTTTATCTTGTATAAAGGGGGGTGTTGCTGATATTTGACTTTTATGCTGAGCATTAAACCTGAGAATATATTCCTCGTGTTATATTTGCTAAGGCGCAACGGGAAAACAGGAACCACACTCTTTCTGTTGCACGAAGAGCTATATTGGGTATCTAATTTATCTATCACAGAACCCGTAGGTAATATCTATAACTACAAGCTCCTTGCTCCTCGTGTCTCGATGATCTTGCGGCGAATCTTCTAATAGCGTTATTGGACTTCAAGAACTGGGTATTGGGACTTTAGATGAGACATCTACCTAAAACAAAGGACTCGTTTAGTATGTATGTAAGGTACCTAGGGCCTAGTTAGGTAGTCACAAGCTTCCATAGTTAGGTCTGGAATTCCTTGCAGAATAACGAAATTGTTTCCATGGCTTCCCGTTCCACCCCCGTGATACTGGGTAGGTAGATAGGTACAGAGTAAAATTTGTTTAGTGCAAATGCACTTTTGAGATTGATGAAAATGTCTCTGCTAGTACCATTGCACGAAGCCGTCCGAAAAACAGGTATTTCATAGTAGCAGTCTGTTTGGTAGACTACTGTTAAGTATCAAACCATGGGAGAGCCAATAGTTGCAACTAAGATAGCTCAGTCCGACTATTTTGGAGTTTGATTTGTTGATCGAAGAGGTTACGCTACCGGGTCTCACGTGGTGGAATAATATATTGACTTTCGATATCGAATACCGGATATGGAAAAAAATATATCTATCCTAAGGGCTGTAGAAATAAAGGCTTAAACTTCCGTCTGTACCTAACGAACGGAATGATATGTGAGAAGATGTTACATCACAAGATAACGTTGAAAGTGAAAGGAATTGGAATCAATTGGCTGCTGTTAATATGCGGCTTTATATGTGCTAATGTGGTACCTGACTAATTTCTGCAGTGGCGCGTACCACTTACGTAACAATTCTATAGGCTTGCCCCTGAATTGTCAACTGCACGCCAAGGACGGGAGGTCCTTTTTGACGTTACACAAGATAATTTCTCAACCTACGAGCCTCAAAGTTCTTGGTGGGACTTCAAAAAGGGCTATTTCATAACATTAATAGTTGTTGTTTTATAAGGTCTGAGTAAAATTGTATTTCAAGTTACCAGTTTTAATATCTTTGAATTTATTTGCTTTATGCGTTTTGAATAGAATAATCTTTTATTAGTTGCCTATCGCGATATGATAACATCCAATAACAAGTCCTTTGCGCGGGACGTGATCTTTAGCTCTCAACTTACCCTTCGACCTCGAACGATTCATATGCATGAAGAGATCTCTACTTATGGATCAGATCAGAAATGATTGGTTAAGGCTAGAGCTGAAATTAGGGCTGTCACTTCTGCACGAGCCATGGCACAAGGGGTCGGGACCGCCTCTGTGGGGAGAATGTAGGCTGCGACATTGTAGCTAAGCATTCTGTCAAGAGTTAAGAAAGCATTCGTCAACTCTAATTCTATTTTCTCTTAACAAGTCTATTATACGTAAAATGTCTTCTCTGAGAAATTCGCAAGATCTACCCGAGATATAACCCGCGCAACTAAAGTCTGAACCCCCTTTCATGACTTATCGAATTGCTATGTTAGGTAGAGGTTAAGTGATAGACAATATGATGACGACTACTCCGACCTCAAGGACATTAGACAACACGTCAACTAATGTCAGTTAAAGTAGCTACGGAGTATTTGCAACCGGTAATGTGTTTTATAGGATTAGACAAGAGAGGAGTTTGGGGACAAAAAATGTATTTAGTATGTTTAAGGAAATAACTAAGTTATGATAATATATACTCAACCAAGAGTTTGTAAGCGAAGTTCCTAGGTTTGGCCTATTTCAAAACTAAAACGGGCCTAAACTAAATCATATCTAGAATGTTCAGTGGTTATTGGTAATAACATATGTTAGTTACCTACCTAGCTACCTACCTACTTAACTTGATATGTCAAGAACTACCTATCATAATGTAGTCTCTTAGCAAGGATATGAAATTAATTAATAGTAACTCTTGAAGACGCAAGGCTTGGGATCAACCCGGGCTATTTGTTCCTGATTACTTCCGGCCGCGGCCTTGCGAACCCCTTGACGAAAGTGTACCCCTTGGTGTGGTATTACCTCTCGTCGAAGACCCGCCCCTTGATGGAGAATCACCTCTTTTCGAAGATCCGCCCCTTGATGGAGAATCACCTCTTGTCGAAGATGTACCTTTTGACGAAGACGTACCACCCGCGGCAGGCTTCCCGCTAAGGTCAGCCGAAGCCATCTTTGCGGCCGAAGCTTCTCGCCCCCTTTCGAGAGTTTGGAAAGAGACATCTTGGTCCTTCTTCAAGGGGCTGATCATGACAAACATGACGACCTTTGTCTGGTGTGAGAGAGCAGGTCTTAATGCTCGTACGAGCTCTGTATCATAAACGACAGGCTCACCGGTCGCTATGCAATTGATGAGCCTAGTCAAGCTCATCAAAGACTTATTAATTTTAATCCCTTCCTTACGAAGGTTGTCTGTCAATCCCATTGCGTTTGGCCTCTCGCTCCCCGCGAGGTCGACGATATTAAGAACGCCAGCCTTAACTTCCCTTACATTTCCTCGTGACCTCCTTAGAATCTCGAATGACAGAATCAGATGCGAACGAGAGCTAGCGGCGTTCATATCAGTTGTAGAAACTACTCTGTATTCCAGCGCAGCATCTATCACTGACATAGCCTCTTCACGGGAGTGCAATTGTTGCTTCCGAACCGAGTTAAGTCTAACCTCGCCCTCCCTCTTTTTCGCCTCGACTGCTCCCAAGAGGTCATGACTCCTGTTCTGATAAATTTCTTGGATGCTTACCGAAATCGTATAATCGAAATCCTCTGCTAGTTTTTGCTTAGTCTCAAACAGTAAATCTAAGGACCTTGGAATCACTCCGTTTTGTCTAACGTCTGGGCCTTTGTGACTAAGAGTAAATGTCTTTCCAGCACCAGTTTGCCCGTAAGCGAACATTATGATCCTTTGGCCCTCCATTGAAGATTCAACAAGGTCGCTGATATGTTCGAAGACGTCCTCGTTGGTATCCGATGAACCAAAGATACGCTCGAAATCATAGGTTTTCGGTGTGTCCTGGATTGTATCTCCCTTATAGTTCGTTCGTGTAGTGGGGATAGTCATCTTTCCCCAGTGCAAGGAAAACTCCCCGTTTTCTTGCGGACCAAAGTCTACAAGGTCTTCTGCTGGGGTGTCCTTTCCTGGGGGTCGAATCCTACATAAAACCCTAATGTTACCTTGAATATCTCGAAGAGTTCCAACAAGGACTCGGCTTTTCTTTCTTTCATCTTCAAGTAGATTCCGGACTCTATTATATTCCTCCGTCTTCTCAAGCAGTTTGGCCTTCATCTCCTCCGTCTTCTCATGAAATTCGGCCTTCATCTCCTCCGTTTTTTCAAGCAGCTCGGCCTTCATCTCTTCAATTTCTGCTTTCTGTCTGGCTTGATTAAAGCTTTCGATGCTGTGGCTAGTGTTATTGGAACTTTCGATACCATAACTGGTTTCAATAGAACTTTGGACACCATAACTGGTTTGAATGAAACTTTGGACGTCGCGACTAGTCTCAACGGAGCCTTGGGGGCTGTCAACGTAGCGTGTGAGGCTCTGAGTTTGACTGGGGATTGTTATATTTTGACTTCCTTCTAGAAGTTGGAATATTATATCCCTAGATTTATCTAATTCGCTGGGTACATGTTTCCATATTGCTGCCTGGGTTTCGGTAGAAATAACAACTATCTTCTCAAGGGTCTTGATACGTTCTTCAACCCTTGCGAGCTTGTATTCTAGACTTGAGTGATCCATTGAGACGAAAAGGTTAAGTTGAAGCGATCGAAATGAATAAATCAATCCAGGCTACGTGCTAGTTAATTGTAGTTAAATTGAAAGATGATCTAATGATCTGTGAATTTAGTTATTATATTTTATAAAAGAGAATCACCGACTATTTCTAATTATTTTATCCTTAGTGCTAATAGAACATTGTTCTATACAAGCACAATTGTTTCTTTTCTTTTAATAAACAATGCTATTAATTAGGTATATAATTAGTGTTTATCTCCATTTATGGTTTGTTAGCCCTTGTTTTTCTTTCAAAGCAGACCACCTATCCTTTCCACATAAAGATCTTGTTTCAATATGTATCAAAGTGCAAGTGCACATTGTACTCTTATTGTTGGAAAGCACAATGTATGAGTAATGTAAATAACGTAATTAACTAACTAAGCTTCTTTATAAGTGAAGGGGAAGCCTAAGTATCAGCCGAGGCAAGGGTATAATTTAGAACGCATTCTACCACTATTGGCTGGTTCCAGTGCGCATAAAGAGGTTGGGTGGCCTTTCTCGTGAGAGGAATTCGCTATCAACTTCGTACTCCATGTCGGGCCCTTCGCCATGAAAGCCTAGACGGGAGTAGACATGCCTTCCCACTAGACACGAGTTAGTTATTATCGCTTGAGAAGTAATATATGCTATTGAGTCTAAACCAAAATGGAGTATTGTATATAGATCCAGGTAGTTGTGGAATAAGAAATACTTACTACTCGATGCTTCGGTAACAGCTTCCAAACCGCCTCGACGTCGTGCTTCGTCAAGACCCCATTGGGCTAGTTTTAGTGCAATCCCCCTTCGTTGGTAAGCTGGATCGACGGAGCACGAGCGGAGATGCATTACTGCTGGTGGATGCGATGTTGCCTTTTCTTTGACAACCTCAACACGGCGTTTTACAAACGAACGCATAACCTGGAAAAGGTAACGCTGCTCGACTTCGTCACCTGGATAAAGTGACTCAATATTTGACAAGATATGTTGGTCATCAGACGGCCGTTCGCCATAACCTTCAACTATTGATAACTGATCCCAGACTGCCAGGCCAGCCACAACTGGTCGTCCTTGGTCGGAAACAGTAGCCTTGAGAAAAATAGTGTTTGCATTTCCCTGGTTGTCGTATGTGACATTGCGCCATTTCTCAACCAACTTTGCTGCGACACGGGCTCTACCCTCGGGGGTTTCCCATCCGGGATTCATAGCTATCCAAAGGGTATCGCGAACCTGGTGCCCAAACGCATTGCAGGCACAGTCAAATCCAGCGATGATATCTTCCTCGCAATCGATGATTTCAACTCGAGGCTCTTCCTCTCGCGGTTTAGTCGTTGTAGGTTGGCGAGCCATGTCGTGAGAATACTAGAATAGCGATGATGAGGAAGTGGAGAGAAGCTTTATGAAATATTGAAGGAAGTTGTGTCATCGTAGTCGGACCTTAAATATAAGCAAAATTCATTACCTAATACTTGGAAATACTTCCTATCTCGTTTGATTATTGATAGGGTTATAACATGATTAAAGGTATAAGTTAGTTAAAATATAAATTTAAATAGGGCCATTCTATACCTCGAGTCGGTTAGTCAAAAGCGTATATTCATATGAGTATGGGTTATATTAGACGGAGTTGTTGCCTCGCTGATAGGTTACTATTGAAAATGCGGATACATTTAAAGACTAAAGACATTCTACTTTAGGGATAAGTTGATCTCTAGCGTTCTTCTCCTTCTCGTTTCCTATACGCGTCCGGCTTCGGTTTCGGCTTCGGCCCTCGGCGTAAGCTGGGGACTACGGAAGTCTATACTGTTTTTGAACAGGTGAATGTCACTTTAGTACCATCCCCATACTATGCACATCTTCTTTAACCACCGGTTTCGATTATGTTTGGTAGAGGGAATCAGCGCTTCGATGGCGGCATCGGCTTCTTCATCTGCCAATATATCTGCCAACCCCGTTTTTAGATCAACGGAGTCGGGTGGCCTAATCCAGGGGTCTTTCCTAACCGAGATTCTGTGGCCCAGGTATATGAACAAGAATACTGGAATCCCAATGTACGCTGTAAGAAAGCCGGATACAGTGAATCGACTCGGGAAGAATACCTGAAATCCGTTTAGTAGCCCAAAGACGCCGAATGCTACAATAGCAATACACGCTGCCCATGGCTGTAAGACACTTGTATAGGGCAAATCAGAATTAGATATGCCCTGTGCGATACATGCCTTTTTGAAGCGAAAATAAATGAGGCAGCAACAAACCCAGCTTATGAATGCCGCCGTGTTAATGATACTTACGAACCAATTGAACATAATGCCACTAACAATGCCGACATTTAGGTATGCTAACAAAGATAATAAGCTCGAAGCTATAACCGCATGGACTGGTACCCCGTGCTTGTTGCAATAGCTGAATATCTTAGGTGCGTTTCCAACTATGGCAAGAGAGTATAATGAGCGGCTGGACATGTATAATACCGAATTCCCACTAGACCAAGCTGATGTTATGATCACGGCATTGATAATACTGTCTAATGCATGAATTCCAGCGTTCTTGATAGCGATAACCCATGGGGATGCGGCTGCCCCTTTTCCACCGTTGGTTAACGCCGACTCGTCACTTCGACATATGACACTAATAGCAAGCGCACCAAGGGCATAAAACATGATTAAGCGCCAGATGAAATGCAGAGCGGCCTTTGGAAGGTTCTTGCGGGGAGACTTCATCTCGCCTGCTGTGATGATGATCAACTCGGGACTGAAGTTGAAGCTGAAGCAGGAGTAGATAAGGGTGAACAAAAAAGCACAGAACCGACCGCCGGCACCTCCCACGAGGTATTGATTAGTCGCGCCAGGGTCCTGCCAGTACCAAAAGCCCAAGCGAGTATGGTTTGGCCCGCCACCGAAGAATAAGACCACTGATAGAATCAAGAGCCCAATGATGGTGAAAACTTTGATTGACGCACACCAGAACTCCACCTCGGCGTAGACTCCAACAGGAAAGAAGTTCAGTGCGACAATTACTACTAGCATTATCGTGATCCATACAGCAACTGGAACAGTGGTTGGCCAATAGCTAATCACGACTGCGGCGGCTGTGATCTCGTACGCGACACTTATACCCCAGGTATACCAATACAGCCAACCCAAGGCGAAGCCAAGACTAGGTGACACCATTCGGTTTCCGTAGTACGCTACGGACATGCCCGACACCGGCAGATAGGCACCGACTTCGACAATCGCGGTGACGATGCCGTAGACGAGAAAACAGATCACCAAGTACGCAGAGAAGAGAAAGGCAGGGCCCGCGATTGCCAATGCCTGCCCCGTCCCGACAAAGAGTCCAGTGCCAATGGTACCACCTATAACAAGCATCTGCGCATGCTGTGATGATGCGAGTTAGTTATCGGCTTCTTAATTAGGTAGCCTGGCTGGGGCACTCTAAGCCTCAATGCAGACTAGGGAACGAGGACAATAGAAACTTACGCGCGATTTGATAGCTCTTTTAGTGCCATGCAAGGCAACCTCAAGATCATCCTCGGCGTTTCTCAGCCTCTGCGGAGTATCTGTCAAGGACGAATCGGGTTCCTTCGACTCGTGCTGCTGTACAGCCATGTTTTCTTTTGCTAGCAGCGCTATTACTGCTGTACGTGGTAGCACCAAAAGGAGTCAAGATTTGGGGAAGAATTTATGTTCATTTTCAATTGAAATGTCGGATATCCTTGCTTACTGATGACGGGCTCGCTCTGCTGATTCGCGTGGGGTTCGGGTTTCCCCTATCGCTAAGTTGCATTTAAGTATTTGGTGCTTATTGGCTCACGGATTTGATAACGCAGGAACTAATGATCTGATTGCTGATCCTATAAGTATAATGCGGGCTTAATAAAGGTTTCTATCGTGATATCCTGATGGGGACATGGTATAACTAGCCTTTAAAAGTCAATTCAAGGAACGTCGAGGCTACATAATGGGCCCGTAGGATTAATATAGGTAAGCACTTGAAGTACATCCCGGAGCACGTCCGACGGGTTTTCAATATTACATAAAAGTCTATCGTCAAAAGACTACCTTAGAGTCTGTACAATATGCTTTATTAAGCTCTACTAATGTCACAACCACGTTCGATATTATCGAACAGGATGCGAGAGATAGACGGCAGCATAGCATATGGATCTTCGGAACAGTGGGTTATTTATACTCGCGTGCAATGGAAATTCTTTGTGCTTCCTATTGTCGTTCTTGTTGCAGGTTGCTTATTTGTCATCGGCACAATCATCGACTCTATTAGGTTACAGCTCGAGACGAAGAAGTCTGACTTACTGTCAACTCTTATCTCCGTCCTTGATCCGGAGACAAGAGCCTTCCTTAGAAGCGAGCAACGTTGCAAAGACAAGCACGAGGATGAGGTTTTAGCTAAGGTGGACAACGAAGCAGATGGATTGGTATTGCGATTCTTTAAATGATATAAAATCTATGTCATTGGATTAGAGTACATAACCCTAACTCGGTTACTACAATGATCACATAAGAGGTGCATGAAACAATTATATCGTCACATATCTGGCACATTTATCGCTAATTAATCCTCACACCTGAGGATATAAACGAAGAATATACCTTCTATGACCAAATATTAGACTGATTGTTTACCGAGTGGATATTAGTGACAATTAGATGCTTGATCATCTATACTAATCGTTAGATCTATGTGCCCTTCGAGCACCTAGGACGAAAACCTTCTTGCTTTGACAAAGTTATACTACCACTTACCGCTCGGATCCTTACAATATCTAATCATAAAATTGCTCAAGAGCTTATAAAAAACCTTACTATCAAATCAACTTGTTTCGCTCCCCAAATTTCACAAAAAGATTCCCTGAGGGATACAACTTGAATGAAACTGTAGAAGGTGGTTAGTATTATACACACGAAGCCAATTAGTAAATCCCTGCTTACTATCTTCTATCACTATCTGTAAATCTCCTCTAGGAGCGTGGTTTGCCTTCCGTTGGTTATGTTTGAGTTCTCAATTCGCCTTTTCCAAACTCAAGGGTGAAATCTTACCAGATGTGTAAACTTTGGGGTGGTCTTGGTCAAATATGAACCTTTTTTCGCATCTGGTAATACTATTTAAGGCCCAGCATTTTTTCTTGCTCTTCTTCTTTCATCACAGATATTTTTTTCTTCACTTGACATTCGGAAATCTTTAGAAGGCTCTTGATCTAGGAAATAATTTACAAACAGGCCACCCAGACTCAAACAATAATACTACCAACATGGCGACCTATCTTCCGGTGCTGACTTATCTGGCGGGACTCAGCAATTTTGACCGGAAATGGGGCCTCTTCATTTACCGGACGACCTACGACGACCAAGAATTGTGGGAGAGATATTTGGCATACGTCAAAACTGCTATAATGCATGCTATCAAACCACAATCGGAGCCTGACCTTCCGAGTTCCTGGAATCCATTCACCTACGAATTTCCTCGTCGTGCAAAACTGCAGTCGAGATTCGAGCTCCTGACTAAAGAGGACAAGAAAAATTTGAATGGCAAATCAATATCAGAGGCTCGTGAGGAGTTCCGTCACTGGGTTGCTACTGTACCGTCAGAAGAGAAGAAAGGTATCAGTAGACCACGATACAATTACTTTCTCTATGTGGACAGAGATGTCTTAGATCGGTTCCAGATAGTGGAGACTGCACGCGGCGACCGCGAGCCAGACTATGTATTGGAAGACGTCATAGCAATTATAGTCGAGGCGGACTGGGAGAAGGATACCTTAAGCGACGACGACGATGACGATGTTGGAAAGGAATGGCAGTTTATGTAAGTTTCATTATTTCCCTCTTAGAGTTGTTATCAGCTAACGTTATACAGACAGGTCCACTCAATCCCACGTCTTTATGACAGTGTAATTCACGACGAAGACGGATGGTTTAGATACTTCACTAGGCCGCCATATATTTATGGCATGACCATTTAGCAGCCCTAAACCAAGAGGGTTCATACTACTACCGCGCAATGATACCATATGAGTTTGACTCCGCGAAGTCTATATAGATGTGGCGGAATGTTCTAGATAGCAAATTCTAGATGGTAATATAAAAGTATAAAAAAAAAGGCTAGGCCCAACATCCACGGACGGTGAATAAAAGTTACAAACCCTAGTTATAGATCATCAACGCGGCACAAGCCCATTCAATACTCAGTTCACCGATCCCTGTCTCCTTATAGTTGTATTTAACATTGGAAAGGTAGATATAGTTCAGGTTGAACATATGTCGCTAAGTGGTACATACCTCTTTCAGGAGATTTAGATGTCCAAAAACTATTGGCCTAGATCCACATATGTAGGTACCTTGGAATACTCGACTGCCAGCCATATGCTCCATGAGTGGGATTATAACACATATGTCTGATGCTATATACAATGAAGGTACTGAAAACTCAGAAGAAAAGTCGATGAAGACGAGTCCAGCCGAGATATATACCGGGCTAACACTAGTGAACATGCCGATTCTTGGGTCTGTTTTTAATTACACATTGAACCTTGAATATGGCATGAAGGGTTTTATTAGCGTTAGACGGATTGTATAATTCAACTTACCTCAAGTCACCACATTCATATCGGCCACTGGCCTTACACCACCCATGCACCAACCATATTCAGCTTCTAGCCAACGGTGAGCAGAGTGTTACCGATGGGAGGCCTTGGTTTTATAATTGATGAAAAGGAACCGCCGGATTACAACCGAAGATGGATGGCTCTTAACAAAGTGCCCGGTGGGATATCGTTAGATCCGAAAATAATGGTGCGTTTCGTAAACATTCTCTAGTTAATGGAGTAATATTCTTCTGTGATTCGTTCTCAAGTTATAGGTCATAAAGTTTAAGTTATAAAATAAGGTGACATCAGACTAAGAACTTGAATTTTGATAAAGTTTTCGTGGTGGAGTAAGGAGACGTGCTTCGTTGATAAGTTAGTTGTCGCTATGATCTCCGTGAAGCTCTAGATGTAGTGTTTAGGTGAATACTAACGAATTCCGCTAGTTTGCCGAGACTATCTCCTAGCTAGTTAATGGCAAATATTTATGCTTAATATAAGGGATTATTTCACTTGCGCTAGATGTATGCCGTAGTATATCGTACCGAGTATTTCTTAAGGCAACAAAGTATATATTGTTTAACGATCCAATGTTTCGAAAATATATTTACATAGTTTGGGATGCAACTACATGCTCGCTACGACGCCATGATCTTATGCCTGTGTCTTCTTGAAATAACACCTCTTTGCCTTCGATGTTGAATCCTAACCCTCGTACACAGCCGGGCCGGGAATCTTGTACTCGGTGAAGCTGTTGCCCCAGATATCGACCTTGATGCCAGGGTCGTTGGCGCTGTACGCACCGGGGAACTTCACTCCAGCTGGGTTAGCAGAGCCTCCACCAGTGACCGTGATTTGCTATTCACTCATGTTAGCGCACGTAATTTTACTTCCACATATGAATTTTGCTAAGCATCTCAAAGGCTATCACTTACGTAGCAGGTCATGTAGAACTGCGCGCCGCCGGCCTGACTTGCGGTGTGAAGCGCTATGGTTTCGGCACGGAGGAGGTAGTCGCCAGGGGCGATGTCGGACGGGATCTTGACGTCTTGTTTGCCGCAGCCCTTGTTGAGGATGTCGTTACCCCAGGTCTTGGTGGCAGGGTCGTAGCCGACCTCGAAGATCTTGAACCAAGATGAGGATCCGTCGGCCGAAGCAGCATCCGATACCTTGCTCAGGTATACCATGACGGGACCGAAGTGGTTTCCGCCAAGGGCTTCCCTGGTGCAGTCACGGTCACCGGGCTGCTGGTGCATCTCTACCGTCACGGTGTCACCGGCTAAAATGCTGTTAGAATATGAAACCCACATGATCGGAATCTATTCTTACCAGCTACGCTGCACTTAGTGGCAGCAGCTTTAGTGCCTCCTACATTACAGCGGATGTCGTTTGAGGCCACGCTGGTGACAGGGTTGTTGTTTGCCTTTTCCAATGTTAACGATCGGTCATCACTGTATGTCGTGCAATCTTATTAGAATGTTATGCGTAACGTACGGGAAGTCTAGCGCAAGTAGACTCTTCATCCTTTCCAGCAACCCATAGATCTTGGAAGGTGGCGTGCCCAGCAGCCGTAGCTGCGAGCGTAGAGAGAGCGAGAGCGGCAACGGCGGACTTCATTTTGAAAACTATTCGATAGATTGAAGGTATGAAGTCGACTCTCAGGTTCCTTGGAGGGGTGAAGAAGGCTTGAGGGAGCTGAGGAGGGCCAATCCGAGATTAAATATAACTGCGTCCGGTAGTAGTACCGGGATACGGGTCGCGAGGCGTTATTCTATGCAAGACATGCCGAGTTCTATATGAATTTAATACACGTTCTATGGCTCAAGTACAAGCTAATTGCGGGTTAGTACTTTACGTTCAAGCGCCAATGACATAGATATCCTCTAGTCTTAGGGGGACGCAATTTGCCTAAATCATACATCCCGCCTTGGAGTAAAGCAGACGGCGGTCGATCTTATCTCGAAAGGACTTCTTGACGAGGATGGAGAGGTTTGGGTAGATGAAAAATGTACTTAAAACCGCCGAACGGAGGAGTGGAGTGTTTCCCTTTTCGAATACTCTTCTAATCTATCATTGGTCCGTTTGTAGTCGATCGTTTCCTCCCATCGGATTTCGGCCATATTATCCGCTTGGTCATACAAAAGCATAAAGCTGGCTCCGTAAGAGAAACCGGACATTATTAATGGAGTATACATGTAAGTCGTGATAAAGGGTAGGTAGCTAGCGTGATTGATTATCAAGTATCTACTAATCGAAGATATAGGTCTGAATTGAGTGAAATTGGGAGTTGAGTGTCTTATCTAGACGACATTGAGATAGTCTCATCGGAGACATGCATGTACTTATAATATTTTGGAACTATACTTTGAAATAATATCAGGTATCATACCGTAGCATCTGACACTTTTAGACTATAGTAATCTTGCATGCCACTTCGAGAAGATGTATTTCTTAGAGCTTACAAAAAAGAGAAATTTAACGCGAGTAGAACAAAATTACTACAACACATGTGTTAAAAATGACAAGCAACCTATATATCTAGTGTCAGAAAGCACTGGCCAAAGGCCTAAAGCCGCTGAGGCAGGTTGTTTCTAGTTAGATGAGACACTAAGACATCAAGTATGTTAAAGACAACATAGCAATACCCCCAGGCAACCTAGCAGCAAAGAACAATATACTATACCGTCCCGTATATATAATCGTAGTAATCCACCACTATCTACTATTATCTCCCGCCCTACCAAAAAACGATACATCTAGTTCCTGGAACTATATTGCACAAACTTAGAGAATCAATGGCATATCCGAACCGCGCAAGCATGGATAAGAACAACACAAATTTAGAAGGTGAGAGTTACACATAAGCTAAAGTCTTCCTAGGAAAATCGCTAAAACCGTGAAGATGCCACCCCGTGGGGAATGGTTGAAGTTCGCCAGCTAGCTTCCATCGGCGAAGCGATATTCGCAAAAGTTAACATCTCCCGCGGAACGCGTATTGCTGCTGAGACTCCATTGATCACAGTACCACCTATCAAATCTATCAATGAAGAGCTATGGGAGTTGTGCAGCGTTGTCGACGGAATGACGAACAACGAATCCAAGGAGCTAGAACAGTTACCTTGCAGTCACAAGGTGACAGATGCTATTAGAGAAAGAGGCTTTGTCGATAACCGAGTTTGGTGCTTCTACAAGAGTAGGAAGTTGAAAAATAGCGACGGAAGTTTGCTCAAGGGGAAAAAGCTGCGGATAATAGTTAACAAAACAATCAATCGCTGCATCATCTACCTCGTCAACAATGTTCAGCTAGGACCTGATGGAAAATACGGCTCGGGTGTTTTCCCCCTATATACCCGGATCAACCATTCCTGCGTCCCTAACGCCTATAACTCTTGGAACCCGACTTTAGAGCGGTTGACTATACATGCGATCCACGACATCAAAGCTGGCGAACAAATATTCGTAGATTACATTGGCAACACATGTCGAACTCGCAAACAACGCGGCCTCTCATTGTATACCGCATGGGGCATCACTTGCAACTGCGCGGCTTGTACCGATGATGCACTTGATCAGTTACGGTATCGCATGCTAGTCCTCGATCAAGCCCTAGCAGCATACGAGTGCGGCGTGTCCGAAGAAGCACATCTCGAGGGCATTCCCAAGCTCGAGACAACCAAGCAAGCCCTCGACGCTGCAGAGGAACTCGTAAGACTTCTCAAGAGACAACGGTTATGTGGTATGGAGCTCTGTAAAACGTAAGTACCTAACCTAGTGCTTGAAATTTGATTATTAGATGTTCTGTTTTGCAGTACTTGGAAAGTGACGATGGTAATGAACTCATGATAATAGGCTTCGCGAATGTTCGAGATACGCGTTTGATAGCGGGGTTTATAACAAGACTTCGAAGTATGCACACATGGAGCTAAAATATGAGACGTTGCTTATCGGTGAGGAAACTCAGCATCTCAAAGAGGAGCTCTATGGCGCGAAATATTGGGTGGAATACATAGATAAAGAAGTCAAGTCATGTCTTTTAAACCTATGAAGGGTGGCTTTTAAGAGTGAAGTTGTTGGATTATGCTAAGAATGCCAAGAGTACCTATAGAACTGCATATAGTTATGTACCTAGGTAGTTTCTAGAGCTGTGCTTCTGTTTAAATATGTATTCATGTTACTGTGGCTTGTGCTATCATTTCCGGTCTCCATTATGTACCTAGGACTCTTTACTAGGCGCAGTGCAGGGCGCAAACACAGCCACGGGCGCTATTCGCATAGGCAGCAGTTAATGTATCTAATATGCAAGTCTTGCATATCAAGACCAACATTATCTTTGCTTTTTGCTCCGCGTCGTCATTTCTACTTCGCCACAATCCTAACCTAATAGCGATCGTCTTTCAGCTTTGACTCTGCAAAACATCTTTTCAATTGCTCAAATTCTGATGAGTTTCTCTTTTTTTTTATTCCCCTGAATTAAGGGAGACTAGAGTAGCGGTTAAACAACCCACCTATCTCACTTAGAATCATATTCCTAACTGTTTTACTTTGCTACTACTCTAAGTACCTAACCTCATTCACCCCTAAACCCCTGATCTTCCAAGGCTTGGCAGTTCCATCAAATGCAAACACAATTATCTTCTACATAAATTGGCAACATTACAGGAATGGATCGTCGCCAGTCTATTGCCGCCGACAAGACCGCACGATCAGCCGGTCCAGTCCACCGCTCGTCAGATCCCCTCGGAGCCAGCAGGCGTTCCCTACCGGCAGGAGAGTTATCGGTCGGAGATGATACGGCAAACGCGTTACACCAGCCGCCGCCTTACTCAGGTCCTTCGGATATCTCTCTAGATCCCCAAGCCCGCTCACAATTACCGAAAGGCCCGCAATATTACCCAGGCCTTCCTATATTAGACTATCGCCAATATTTGCCGCCTTTGTTTGAGCTGTCGCCAGATAGCATAACCATCACCAGCAAAGCCAATTATCTCTCTGAAAATGCCGGGGCCTTAGCCACGCTTGTGCGAAGCATTGCCACCGTGCCTCCAAAGCTTCAAATCATCATACAAGGAAACCGTGGTCGCAAAGTCGACTTCAGTATCAAGCTGAATCTTATGAACTTGCTCGTTCCTAATGACCCCAAGGATCGTCTTGACTATCTCCGATGTGTTAGTAAAGATGAGGTGGCTCTTCGTGGCGGTAGCGAACCTGGGCTGAAGCCCGACTTTGGTGTAGACAACGGGCTAGAGGCGTGGTGTGACCGGTTCGTCAAGGACTCAACTACCATAAAGAGCTTCACGGTCGAGCGGGTCGTAGCAAACTTCGATGCAAATTGGTTAGAAGGCCAGGTGCGGAGCCTTGTTGCCTCCACAGCCTATAAAGGCCAAGTCACAGTACAATTCCTCATCACACACGCCAAAGTCATCATCCAGAACCCGGATAAGCACAATAAATTCTTAACGAGCGTCACCTCGCTATTCTCGAGCAAGAGCAAATACGAGGTCGTTAAGGCCGTGTGGCCTTTTGCGACGAGCAAGAATGGCGAGCAGGGTCGAAAGTGTGTTGTGCAGAGTGAAAAGACGTGGTGGGAGGAGGTACGTAACGCCTAAAGTTTCCTTTTGATCTACCCCGAGCCCAAAGCTTCGAAGTCAAGTTGATTGAGGGGTTTTTACTTCCAAAAGATTCGCAGACTCGTTAGTTGGAGAATGGAGTACTGACTATCACTATTGTAGTGGCGCGACCCAATCAGATTTGCCATTGGAACGAAGCGTCAAGGTTGGGTTACAAATGAGGATAAACTTGAATGCATCATGGAGGGCAGAGGAAAAGGTATTAAGTTGATTGACTGGGGTTCTGAATTCGATTAAATGAACTTGATATGGATGCAGGACGTCAATTCCTCGTTACAGGATCCACCACACTGGCTCGTCTGAGGGGATTTTACTAACATATGCGACATGTATTGCGCTTCATTTTTATTCTATATATACCATGGAGATGGCGCGACTGGATAGACCGCTTCAACTTACTCAGGACTATCACTAAGTAATATAAGATAGGTAATTACTAGTGTTTAGTAAGAGTCCAATAGCTTATAGGCTCGTCGATTAAGGAAGATGATATAGACAATATATCACATTTATAATAATTATCTGCTTGAGTGTCAAGGCAATTCTAAAGAAGCACTCCACGTCTAGTTAGGAGGTACCAAACATACCTACCTTAACCAATCCGTTCGCACGCTTTAGCATCACATGCCGGCCAGGACTACGAGAATTCGCGAAACTCAGACATCAAACTCCTATATGCGCCCCTACTGGACTGGGGGGAAAATGCATATATACCGAAGGGTGAACTGACCCCAGAAGCACAAGCGTTAATCTCACCATTACAGCACCCTTTCAAAACCAAAACGCCTATATTCATACAGGCTGGGACGCACGAGGCATTTCATGATGTGATACACGGTTTCTCAGATGAAATGACAAACGTAGGGGGCAACCAAATTAGATTCCACGAGTCAAAATTCGCCCCACATGATATTCCGCTGAGCAACGATCTTCTACATATGGACACAGAGTTGCAGGCTGCCGTCAAGGATGCTCATGCCTTTTTTGAGGACTAGGTCTAAGTAGAAGATGTTTTTGATGTACGACGCTGCTTAGAACCTCTATAAGTAAAATTTTACAGCGTTTCATGAATGGTTAGATACAGGGGTAGATCTACTATATAGGAGGCGTGTAGCGCCCTCGTAAGAGGGTTGAAGGCAGACGTTAATAGTTCAATATATCTATCCTGACATTCACTGTATATATGACCTCAATCAAAGGTACAATATCTGACATCCACTAATGGATGGATAATTTTAGCTCGCTCACCGCTTACCACTATTAGGTATTTTTAATCATAATCGTTAGGAGGAAGGTTGACAAGACTTCGCTGCTGCGTCTCGGAACGCTACGATGAATAATGGTCTAGGATTAAGTCTCGGGTAATTATCTGTTGGGCTACTATTTGGGGAGTTTATTTCCAAAGGCGTTATGTCGGTAATTCAAGGTTTATATGTTTGAGGGATATACGATTCTTACCAGTGTTGGCGAAGTCTCAATCATCTCTCAAGCGTTGGTGGGTTGGGAAGACTTAAATTAACCAACCGATTACCTACCTGGAGTTTAATCAACCTCTTCCGTAGACCTAAGCAAATAAATGTGTTAATAATAAAGTTTTTAATTAATATCAAGTTCTCTAAGGTTTAAATTGCGTTTTACAAGTAATACATAAGTTTCTTTACTCGTATAAACTCCTCCATACTACCGAGTTCCCACATCTTATGTATACTGAGGGTTAGGGTTAGGGTTTGTACTGGTTACTATACTCAGTGGGGTAGTATGGCAGCAAAGCGGCTAAAAGAAACTTAGTAATAACAGAGGTGTAGTGATTAATACTCAAGGCAAAGCTGATAGAGTGGACATTTTAACTAAACTACCTAGTTATAATAGCCTACTAAAAGGTATTGCGTAGCTAATTGTGATTGCCTTCTGTGTGAAGATTCTGTATTGGATGTTTAGAACAAAGGATACTTTCGGTATGTCAGTATAGCCGCGGGCTTCCATAGCTATCAAAGGGTTAGAGTTCCTTTTTGACTAATAAAATTGGTTTGTTGCCCTTTAGTCCACATCGTGATGTTCTGAACAGGGTATACTGGAAGGCTATAGGAAGGCTTGCCTTCCATTAATACTATAAAACTAATATTCGACTGAAATATTATGAATTCACCTCCAAGCCGAGTTCCTAGAGGCGGAAGGGAAATAAGCTCAGTATTCCGTACCTTGAAATTTGTCGATTTATGGCAACTCAGTACTTCTTCGCTCCCTAAAAAAGGGGCAAATAATGCCAAGTGGAATAATTATAGAGGACTTTCGAGACAAAGAATCGCCTAGCCAACTATATACGGAAAGGCAATTTACTATATTAGTACATGGAAATTCCAGGCAGCTACATTAGTTACCTGTAATCCGTAGTCCGTCTTTGAAAGATACCCCTAATAAGTGGAGGATCTTAGCGACATCATATGTAGTTTCTTGGCATCCAGCTAAACCAGCCAAAATTCTCGCCGGAAACTTCGTGTTTAAGTCAAGAGTCCCACCAATATTTTCTCCCAGAAAAGATTCACGGTACAAGATCACGATGCTTTTCTCGGAATGGTAGCAACCGCTTTCCATTTAGTGTGCATTGATGCATACGCAGGCCGCAGCTCGTGATCGTTCGAGGCTCAGCGGCTTCATCTGAGTTGATAATGAGGCTAATTCTGTAAATGTGCATAGAAAGCTCTGGCCTTTTGATTGGTAAGTTGGCTCTCTATTGGCTCTAGAGTAAAGACTACCCCAAAGTCAACCGTATTAACCGGCATCACGTTACCCGGTTACCATGTTTCAAGTCCTTCTATGTCAGCTGTACGAGCGGGCTTTGCAACCGTGAGATGACCGTAAGCAGCATGGGGTTATATTGGGCGATGCAGGTTTGGTGGATAGCACCCAATAAATGACTAGACAGGTATGTATATCGTATCGAGCTGGTTAATTCGGTTAGACACGCATATTTTTACAATATCTGGCAGACATAATCTAGTCGAGATCTACAGAGCTGACGAGGGAACGGTCAGACTTTCAGACTTTATCTCCGAACTGGAGTATTCAATGGACATTTTACCCCATATATTTCCCATTATGTTTTCTAGAATGTCTATTTTCTCTTTTGGTTCCTTGTCAACCGCGCCGTAACTGCAACCCGGATGTTTTCTTCGCCATCACGATATGATGCAGTCGAGTTGGACAAATCATGGAACTACTATGCGGAATAGAAGATCTATCGCCTTAGCCGTTATACTTCTCATCTTAAGTCTATGGTTATTACAAAGCCGGTTCGACGTCTATTCGCAGTTACACAATGGTCCGAACTTCCGCATCAAACAATCTCCCCGGGAGACGGCAGCGAACGCCACACTAGGGGTAAGTGGTCTTTTATTAACCTAGACTGTTCCAACTCTGTTCCAACTTCGACAATGTTAACCCGCGCATAGTTCCAAAAACTAGTAGCGCTTTCGAATAAACCGAGTTGGAGGACCCGAGGCCTCGAAGCTGCCGCTAAACTCACCGACCTCGAGTTTACAATTCCACCCCAGGGGCAGAATTCCGACGAGCTAGTCGAAGCTTTCCGGAACCTCGGCGCAGATAAAAAGGGTGCCAAGCTGCCAGCGCCCGGCTCGGCCAAAGCTTGGCTTGCGCATCTTGATCTACTCAAATATGTGATAGCATCAGGCTTCGAGACTGCGTTTATCGTGGAAGATGACGTCGACTGGGATGTTCGGATCAAGGCGGAAATGAGACTCGTGTCCGATAATGTTCGCGCCTACATGGGTGTTGCCGAAGACGATCCTACACCCTTTGGGACCGACTGGGATGTCCTATGGCTTGGCCACTGCGGCTCAAGCATCACAGACGACCTCCCCCCGCCTCGCGTTTTCGCGGATGATACCCGCTGCGAGACTCCACTATACTCGGGATGGTCAAAGCGCTTTTTAAGGGACAAGCTGACTGAGGGCCATCGTCAAGTCCAGGCAGCCCACATGACTGTCTGCACTTTCGGATTCGGCGTGACGAAGAAGGGTGCGCAGAAAATGGTACCTCTTCTATCGCGGGGCGGCAACGAAGCGTTTGACGTTGCGCTGTCCGGATATTGCAAGAAGGAGAAACTGAAGTGTATTGTTGTCAACCCACAACTATTCAACCATTACGAACCTCCAGCCGACTTAGGATATGTCAGTGATGTTCATGTTGGGGACGGGCACAGCGAAGGGAGTGACGATTCGAGCTTTGAGCACACCAAAGGAACGACAGGGAACATTATGAAGAGCGCTCGATGTGACGCGCTGTTCCACGACGTGTGTATGAGGCCTCCTTCAGAGATATGAAGTTACTAAGGCATTTTCTTTCCTGTTCCACGTAGCATTATAGACGGAGCGAATTATTATAGAGATACCCAGGGTTTGCGCCAGCTTACTTGTAATACTTCTCGAGAAGTTGAGCTCGAGAGTAAAAATATACCGACCTAAAAGTTTGTCTATCTTGACTATGAAAATGTTCTCATAAGTAGTAGATGGAACTTCCTAGGCAATGGATGGTATGACCCCTCATGCAGATTTATATCCCCGACGGAGGTTAGTGCCATGGATGGAATAAAGTATTACTTTATTTAATGTTATTAACTCAAGAAAGTCTACCTACTACCGAGGTAGATACACTTAGTGCATTACCACGTCACGCTGGACCTGGATAGCAGTAGTGGAAAGATTCTTGTTAGGATCTTGCTGATTTTCTCGGCCACCTGTGCCAATTTCCGTCGTAACGGACGACTTCATCCAATTGTAATAGGCCGTCGGCCTATGAGAGGTACGAGCTGCGACATGAGCACACGGCGGCGGGGTTGGCGAACTTCCTCCGTAGCTAGACAAGCTTTCACGCGCTCTCCCAGCTTCCAGTGAACCGTCTGAACTGTCGAGACTGTCACTAAGACGTGCCTGTACGCCAAGGTAATAAAAGAGTTCGTCCTTTCCTTTCATGTTCGACATTCTGCTTGCGTCCGAGTTCCCACGCATATGTCTACTCCCTCTCTCTGCGCCTACCATGCACGAGTTCCTTGCCGGTTTATGTAGACGATTCGAGAGGGCAGGAATCCATTTTGAAACTAGAGGTCGTAGTGTAGGTAGACATGCACAGATGATGCCCGAGCATAGCTCTGTGATGGACCAACTAGATCCCTCAACATTTTCGTATGAAAAGTCACCCCCTAGCTGGAGAAATTTGATGCGGATGACGGAAATAGCACACGTGCTTAATCACCCATTAGCTTAGTCCGATTCAAACACCAATTGGTATTGTAACTTACAAGAAGCCGAAACTAAAGATCCCAATAAGGACAAGTCGCTGAGCCTTAGGTAAATGTAGATGTCTGAGAACTGGTAATGGCAACACGAAAATTGCAATATCAGTCGCAATGTTGCCCGCTGCGTTGATATACCATTGAGGATAATTTCCTATACAAGACCCAGCTGATTTCTCCCAGAATCCGGAAACCGGATCGCAGATAAAGATACCGACAGCAATTTGGGACATAGACCAACAGCCAATTAGTATCATGGCGGTTATCAATGTCGTCCGCATTTTCTTGATAGCAAGTACCCGGTAGTACTGTGTCAAGAACGTCAACTTCACGAACATAAGTCCCGTATTGTAAAGCGTAATAGAGACATAAAAGCCCTAGAATAATGTAGTCATTAGTGGCAAGCTACTCTCACTGGGGAGAGCAGGTAACGTACCTTTAGATAATTCCTACGTTGTGCATCGCTACCCAGATCCCACACATGCTTACCAAGCCCGTTACGTGTGTCTATGAATAATGAGCAGCCGTCCATTTGATCTTGAGGCTTGCTATGAAGTACTTACTTGTACATTGGGAAATTCCTGTTACTAGAGCAAACACCTTCAAGTAGGAGCCGAGTCAGCTTTTGCTAGCTATATATTAGGTAGTTGTACACAACTGACCCATGCAGCTAATACCAGATAGTCGTCGACACCGACTTGTTTGAGCATACAGGAACGAGTATAGAATCGAAGCCCTATGGCAGCTGTAGCAACGGTGCATACGAGACACACTACACCGATGAGTACAGTAGCTCTATCATCATGAGCTAAGTTTAGAGGATCAGCTGATGAATCCATATTAGCTGTCTGATAGCCAGAGAGTCTGCAATAGGATATAGTTTTCGAAGGTCTTCTACATCGGACTAAGAAAGCAGCTCGTAATCTGCTCGTTCTTCAGGAGCTCTTATAAATGTTCTTCGACATTTCAAGTATAGCATCATCGGAAGGGAGCTAGCACCATCCCGTTCCGGGAATAATAGCGAAAAGGCCGGATGGTGTTCATCCTAATGAATATAGAATGATGCGGAGGGCGGGGTGTTTCTCCAAATAGATGGAAGAATTCTAGAATGGAAACGGATGAACTTTGGGGCGCATCAAGGCTCAATAATCAATATCGAAGAGCGTCGTCACTATTCAGCCATCCTGCTTAGCCAGCCAATAACAGGAGTGCGGAGAGGAGAAGCACATGGCAAAGTGCCGGATCATACTATCACACATGGCGTTCGTCACTTATACGGAAATATCTGCGCACGCTTCCGAGTCTATATAACCTCCCAGGAGCCCAATAGGGTAACTACCAAGGATATGCACTCTCCGCACACGTGGCAGTATGTAGGGGACCCTAGTATGGCGAATAATGTAGAAAGTGGGAGTATTGAGCGTGCAGACAGACTTTGCATATACAAGTCTACGTTCTTAAGACTCAAGTATTGAATCTCAAATCTACACTAGCTCGTATGGTATCAACTTGGAAGTTCGACTCAAGTTTAATAAAAAGATATAGGCGTTTTGGAAAGCGGAATGCCATAGATGTTCAAGCTGAGGTTGTGAGCAAAGAAAGTTATGAAGAGATCAGATTTCTCCCCGCTCTACGGAAGTAGTGTAATGGTGGGGTTATGAACCACCCCATAAGAGGTTCTTAATACGAAGTACAGATACTTAATACATGTAATTGTACAATGTAACAGAGCTAACCGAACTACTATACCTGTTCACGTGAGAATTATTTCCTTAGATATAAATAGCATATCAGAAACTTCATTAGGTGTATAGTACTAGCTTCCTTGTCTTAATGCATCGTTGCTCCTATCGTAGTCATATGTAGTATATGAAGTGTTCTTAGCGGGGTAAACCAACGATGATAAAGAACGATACGATGTATCATTTCTCCACCTAGCTAATTCCCAGCGGGTCGGGACGCTATTAGCGTCAATGCTATACCAAGTACATTACAAGCCTTGTACTTTATCTGTTTATGTAAAGTCGAACTTACCTGAGTTGACTCACACCGAAGAGTCATTGATCGTTCACAAATCATGCAATTATTCATAATGGGGAAATGGCGAAGGAAAGTGGCGCAGCTCTGCCATAGTGGTACCTAGAAGTACCTAATCCTTACGGCTACCTACCTCATATACTACCATAAAACCTCACCACTTCACCTAATACCGTATCTATCTTCTGGAACATTAAGGCCGATATAGTTTTCATTCCTTGAATAAACAATCCTGACCTATTCCATTTCATTCGTTTTGGCAATCATTATCCTTCTTTTTACCCTTTAGAAGCTATGGCTACTCCAACTACTTCAACAGGCATGTTAGCCGACATGGGTAGCAGCCCTGACACAGCGCTGTGTATTATTCCGCCGAAGCATTTATGGCCAGAGCTAGACCACTTGAGGATGATCTACGACCCAGCATTCAGAAAACGGCCACCGCATATCAATCTTGTATACCCATTTGTTTCGGTAAATAACCTGCTTAACGCTTCGAAATCAATCATCTCCCTGCTCGTACAGCGGGACCCAGATCATCCTTCTTCGACAGATATACAGTTGGATAAAGCAGGTTTCTACACCAATGACGCCAAGGACACCAAGGAGAGGAAGACAATTCACTTCTTGTGCGGCAAATCGCCATTGTTCTTTACAACTCTACGGAGCCTTCTGCTATCATCGCTAAAGCGAAATCATAACTACGATGATCAATTGCGTATGACCATTGGACAAACAGACGATTCAAAACACCCGCTACATAGATTTGCAGTACAAATACTCGAGCATTTCCCCCCCTTTCAGTGGAGGGCTGAAAAGATTTATATCCTTGTACGAGACAAGGACGAGACCCGGATCGATCCCAGTGTCCCTAGCCAAATGAAGATATGGGGAGAAATCGATCTAAGTACTTACACCTTATTAACAATGCCAAATCCTGTTGGCTTCTACGAAGACGAGGTGGTAGCTAGTTCCGAAAGTAACGAACAAAGTATTCGGTTAAATTGCCGTCCGCTAACGCGCCTCCCGTATATGTTTTCTGATGAGGAATTCAAATGGATTCAGCAACAAAAATATCCTGCTGCTGAGCAGGTATCCCCAAGTCCGGAATCTCTAGTTGTTGCAAACTATAATGTCCACGCGGAATTTCAATATCCCCCAACTCGAGCTCGATACCCCATCATAATCCAAAATCTACTAGATGCGCGAGCTCTGGCGGATGCTCTAGTACTAGAAGAAATCACAGACGACTTTCTCTCATATATTTGTAAAGATAAGAGGGTTCGGGAGATTTACCCCTTTATCTCTAACGGCCCCCCTGATCAAACTGATATTGGGCCACTTCCAAGCAGTATTAATATTGTGGTTTTGAGCAAGTGGCCTTTTTCTTGGAACTTACTATCGCTTTCCGGAAGCTGTAAAGGCTCGGTAATCATACAATTTACCAACATTGGGAAATACAAGAGGGGGGCTTTCGTACCGGCCATTCTATCTGCCGTTCATCTTAGTTCAGGCCTCACAGATGCTTCTATACAGAGAGGGGGGCAGGAATTATGGTGTCTCCTCTATTATCTCTCCAAGGAATACCCTCGAAATCCTTGGATATTAGCTGGCGGCTTCAACATTCCGACTAGTGTATATACCATCGAAACGGCAGTCAAGAAGAACGAAATCTCTCCGGATAGCAGAAATATCTCAACTATAGTTGAAAAACTATTCATTAATATGGGGTTGGTAGACACCTGGGCTTCTGCATGCGTTCGATACGGTGATTTATCGAAGTACGATCTAAGGCAACCGGATTTCGAGAAAGCTTTAGGGGGTGAAAAGGGGGCAACTTTTGATCCAACAGCTAACCGTCTTGCCGAAAGTACTACTCGCAGCGACTTCGATAAGAGGCCACAACGCTACGACAGGATTCTAGTAAAGGGAGAAGACTTTATTGTAACAGGATTCAACATGTTTGGCCAGAGAATGGGAGCATCGCAGACTGACTCTTGTGTTGACTCTAAGGATGATGACTCTAAGGATGATGACTCAAACGTCCAGCTTTCATATGGTAGTGATCATTGGGGGATCAAATGTTCGCTAAAGGTTTCTAAAGATGCATCAGTACGGCCAACCGACAGTAGCAAAACCACCTCCGCTCCGGTAAAAACCAAGCAAGAGCAGATGTTTGCACCTCAGCTTGCCGCATATCTTTCTGAGCAATCCGTATTCCCTTCCGATATTGATATTGCGATGAGAGAAAGTGCGTTGTGTTTATTGAAAGAGGTTATAATGCAAGATGAGGATAGCCTCGCTCGTGGGGTTCCAGCATTCATGCTAGTACCTGTCGGGTCTTATGGACTGGGTGTCTGGACTGCGGCGTCAGATATCAACTGCCTTTGCATTGGACGTATCAGTCCAAAAACTTTCTTCGCACTAGTCATTCAGCGGCTTCGTAACGCTGCGTGGAGGGGTATTAAGATCTTACGACGAGTAGATGCCCACTCTGGCACAATCATCGGGCTGGCAATCGGCCATATCAAAATGGACTTACAATATTGTTCAGCAGTTTCTATCACCGAGACGTGGCCAGCCGCGCTGGCGCTACCACCAACCGATCCCGTTTTCAAGTTACTACAAAGTACCCTAGCGACATTAAAGCCAGTGCGTGACCTGCATCATCTCCTTAGCACGATTCCAGACCTTGCGGCTTTCAGGCTATCATACCATGCAATAAAATGTTGGGCAGAGCGGCGTGGTATTTATGCTGCGCAATTTGGCTATCTTAGTGGTATCCAGATATCGATACTGCTGTCGCGGGTGTGTAAGCTACTGGTAGACACATGTGGCTCTGCATCAGGTACCAAAACGATATTAATGACCTTTTATCACCATTACGCTGGATTTGATTGGAATAACTCTATCGTTCTCGACCCGTTCTTCCATAAAAGTCTGAGTTATACGAGAACTGAACGGGAACATATGGCCATCCTAGGCTTTTATGGGCCTCGTCTGAACACGGCACAGAATACGTCAGTTTCTACAGCTCATACCATCATTAAGGAATTGAAGAGAGCAGACTCAATACTATCAGGAACCGAGGTGGTATGGGCCGAGTTCCTCAGTGGGAATACAGGCATAACGGAATTTCTAAGCACGTATACGACATATATTAAGATTACTGCTCGATTCTGGGGTGTGTCTCTTGCGAGGATAAATAAGACCTTGGAATGGCTAGAACCAAAATGCGCCTCACTTTTGGTCGGTCTGTCTACTCCTTCTCCCCTGGAACACAACATAGTACTAATGCGAGTATAGATATCGGCAAGGTAGTACCTGACATACATCCCAGAATCTGGCCATCACGCTTCATAAACCAAGACGCTTATGAAAAAGATGAGGAATATGAAGGGCATTATCTTATCGGCTTGGACTTGGAGTTAAAAGAATCTACCGGTCTGCCGACCGATATAGCAAGAATACGTTCTATGCAAGCCAGTTTGGATACCTGCATAGGTGTCTTTGAAGCTCAGGCAAGCAGGGACGCGAAGTACTTTGACCCCAAGTCATCCTGGATAAACGCTACAATAACTCCGCAGAATGAACTTGGAGAGCTACGATTGGACGATCGGGACTGGGGAAAATATATGGTAGAAGCTGAGGATGAGGATATAGGCGATTCGGAATTCTGGGCATCTATGGAAGCGGACGAAGCCAGAGAACCACCTAAGAAGAAAGAGACTCGTTTATCGCATAAGCCAACGTACGAAGGGAAACTTCGATCTGCAGGTGACGTTCTAAATAGGCTTCGGTGGGATCAAGCCATGGACAGTAGCGACTACATAATCGGCTACGAAGATCGCTTCTCGGGAGCAATGGAACGGTCAGTTGACTCGTGGAAGTCGGATACGACGCACGAAGAATTCATACCGGAGCACAGGATCCTATACTTCAAGCGCAAGAGCGACGGGACGATCGTGTGGGATAGGGAGGAGAGACGAGATGAGATATTCGGTAGCGGGGCCTCCAGTCTTGGGCGCTAGGGTAAGACATACCTGGGTAGGTATTCTACGCGTTGTTTATTGGTTGTTTTTGGTTTGGTTTTACTCAGCGTCAGATGCAAATATGTAAATACCCCTCAGCGGCTTCCAACTTGGATCGTCGTTATATTAGCGTGTTTTGACAGCTCAGAGATATGTAATCCGCCTTGACCCCCCTGGCGTGTGGAAGGCATCTTACTGGTGTGATGGATATAGTCGTAAGTAAGCTCCCAGCCGTGCCAACAGAATGGTAGCCAATCCTTCCGAGTCAGGTGATGGAAATCTCATGCGCGTCGGGGAGCGTTGGTGAGGTTTGAATGCGACGGTTTCGCGTGCTACTTGGAATAGGTATTTGAACCTATCAGCCTATGTCCCCCCCTGTCGTCATAGTTCGCTATTCGCGACTTTCCCCGATCGAGTAGTAATTTCTAAGCGAACTGCAACCCCCTTTTCCTGGACCCTGGTCTACTTTTCTCGGTATCGTTTCCTTCTTGTAAAATAATCCGACTTTTGACATGTCGATTTTTGAAGGGGGGGACAGGGATGGCGGGGGAAATTCTCTAGGTAGGTAATCCGTAGTTGGGAATGATGTGGTGTGATGACGGGTACCGGTTTGTTGGGTATTCCCCCGCAGCTTTCTCCTCGTCTTTGGTGGTTTGGTGTTACATGGTACCTTAGTAATTGTCTTAACGTTTATTTCGCTTTTGGGATTCGAAGTGAGCCCCGGTTGGGAATTGTTGGTCCTTTTGTATGGTATTAGGTTAGTTACCTTACCTTATATATATGTTAGAAGAAATATATGCTAATAAAGAGTACTTAGCTTCAGTATTACGGCTGGAATACATACATAGGTATATAGGGGTATCTTAGGGAACCTTGTTATAGATGCGGGATCTAAGATTTAAACTGCCGGGTTTTATGGGGTTGTGTTACCTGTTTTGTTGACGCTAAATGAGCTATGTACCTAGAGGTATGTATATTCTTTCGGGTTGCCATAATAGCCCGAGTTTACGAGAAGTTCTAATAAAATTAAAATAAGGTAACTTCCAATAACTATTATAAACACTTTGGAAGCAAAAGATACGTATTTTACTATAAAGATAGAAGTGGATACTGGGAGGGGCATAAGATGCATCCAATAAAATTGCTTTAAACGTGCGCACAAACGAACTTTGGGCATACGTGCATGTAGGGATATTACTTTTACTAACTACCTCTTATTTTACCTCTTACACGACTTCCTTAGGTAGGTAGTCGTTTGCTTTTTCTCAGCTGTCTACTCTGTAGTTAGGCAGAACTCGTAATGCTTTTTAACTTTTAGACTAGAGGGTAGAATGTTTCATTTAGTCGGCAGCTTGGTCTACTTACATTGAATCCATCAACTCGACTCACTCACTGCGCTTGTTTCCTAATAACTCGTTCTCATAATTCTCCACCTTATTTTATTCTGTATTGTTCTTTGGTATGAGATAGCAACAATGGCCTGGAGATGTCGAGACTGTCATAGAAGCTTCGCTCAATGGAGCTCTCGGGAGCAACACCTCGACGCGTTAGACCACCGCCCTCTTGACTTCGAGTGTCGCTGCTGCTACCATGTCTCAAGTAGCGAGGAAACCCGCCAGGATCACGAAGCCGAGGACCATTTCCACTGCCACGATTGCGACAGAGACTTCCAAAACTACAATAATATCAAGATGGTGAGATGGAGCAGCTGCCAGTTAAAGACACCATCGAGATTAACTTGGGCTCCAGCATCTTAACTCCCGCATTCACCGAAAGGGCAGGATTGCATGTCCTTTCTGCAAAACGGACTACGTCACCGCGACGGGCCTCGCGCACCACCTTGAAGGCGGACACTGCCCCCAGGCTTCATTCCTGAACCGCGATGAAATATTTCGTGCAGTGCGGGCTAAGGACCCCACCGGAATCCTCTCGAAGAAGCTCATCGGCTGGCATGGTTCCTCCACATACGAGGCCTCAGACCAGACGTGGAACGGCCATGCCTTCGAGTGCTACTTCTGCCACCGCGATTTCGTGAATCTCCACGCCTTGAACCAGCATTTAAGCTCGCCTGCTCGTAAGTAATAGTCCTAAGTCCCGCTTCATGTGGCCTGGATTAGTATAACTGATATGTCGACCCATGTAAAGACCAGCAGTCATTGTACCATTGCCCAAACCGTAATGCTTGCGGCCGTGACTTCAAATCTCTAGCCGCCGTCAGTAAGTGGTATTTCCGGCTTTGTCCTGCTCTCTGATCAGCTTATCTCGTCACACATGCTATCCCCCTTAAGCCTATCTATTCGTGCATGTGTTCTCAGGAGAGGGCCTCGCCACTGCATCTACCTATCTATGAGATATCCTCAAGTGGCCCCTCCTGACTTGTACAGTGAACCACCTTGAGAGCGAAAGCTGCGCCTTTACACGTTTCGAAAACGTGCAGAGAGCTGCCATCAACCTTATCAGCGGGGACCGACGCCTGACATTTGGCTGAACGCCATGCCATAATATTGATAGCGACTTCGTCATGGGATGTTTTACTATCCTGTCTCCTCGTCATAGACTCGACACAGGTTTCGCATAGCTTTGCAACCCTTCTTTCACACCGTCGTCTATCTGGGTTATATGTATGATTATATGTCGAAGCGAAGTCGGCAGATAAACCCGCCAGATTTTGATATCTTAGGACCCGGGGACGAGTCCGCAGCCACATAGCCGCATATGTAAACGCTCCACTCGGCTTAGCACGGCTCTTCTTCAAGCACCGAAGGAACACGGGAGGAATCTTGTCCCGGTAAGACCGGCCAGAAACCGGAGCTGTCATGTATATGTGGTGCAAGGTACAGTAGTTAATAATAACACCTGAGTAACTTAGCACCCCGGACTGTGTTTACAATCTTCTCACCTACAATCTTGGGTCTACATCATGATAATCGATACAACTGACGTATGACTCAACTTCTTCAGAATCAACTTTATTCATTCCAGGCTCCAATCATTTCCTCACTACGTCGACCGTTCTCTCTCCAGCTATGCAATCCCCATACAGGCAGCTGGACTAAGCGGGGTAACCCATCGGATATGCGCAGTGACATATAAGACGTACAGTAAATTCCAAAAGACGGATACTAACATCACGTATACAGACCGGTCAAGGTCGGTTAACCAGTAATTATTAACTATATCTATGTCATTTATAACATACATCCCGGAATTTTATAATGTTTGATTATACGGCTCAAAGGTATAAACACCAATGCCGCAGGTTAAGTAAGGAAACGGTGGAGCTGTAAGATCCCGTCTAGGCTGAAGCAACGTGCCGAGAAGGGGACGAGGCGCAAAGACGGAAAGTGACGGACGAGATGAAGAGAGAATCAAATAAACGGAGACATTCTCATATATCTAGGTGCTTGGTCAACCCTTGCAGTCTATCAATCGACCTCGGCAGACAATCGACTTGCGAACCATACCCTCATTACAAGGAGAAAGCCTTCGACTTTCGAGGTATAATATATTAAATATTTACTAAACACAAGAAAAATGTACTTTGAAAGTAAGCTTCCGTCCTATAGGAGCACCTCACTAGCTGGGTCGAGCAAACAGAAATAGAGGGTACAGCGGGCAATTCTAGCTATTTCCGCAGGACTTGTACGATTCGTCCCGCGCGGGGAAGTCGAGCGGGTGCTTAATTGGAGAACCTATTATGAGTACATAATTGGGATATAGGAAATGCCGTACGCGAAGGCGATACTGTACAGGTCTGGGTGTTTAGTGGAACTTCTTGTCTTGGATCCCGGGGAGCCGAACGGCAAGATCGAGATCATCGGCCGCCTCTTGTCGCCGGTGTCTGCGGCAGAGGTCGGGACTATTAGATGTATCGGGCTAAATGTAAGTCTTACTCGCCGTTGTGGGCAGATGGAAGGGCCGAGAAGTAAGACCCTGGGACTAATCTTAACATAGGATGTAACTATCACACGCTAAAGAAGCGGATAGTAAGTAGATTCTTTGCGTTTCCGCGATTTTCAGCCTCAAGGATTCTGCCAATAGACGCTCTGCCGTTCCAGCTTCTTACTCTTCCCTTTCCCCGTCCCTGCAGGAGGAAGTGCTAACGTAAGATCTATAGTGAAGGTTCCGGACGTACCTCTATTAGGTATTCATGTAAGTCGCGCAAGTCAGGCGTACGAAATCTAATTCCATATGCGCCTAGCATGCACTAAGGCAATCTCTGACCTGCATGCATTGTACTAGGAAGCCGGCTACGGCACGTACCGTCATCCCGAAGCACACGTTAAAGGACGATAGTGCGGACTACGAAGCTGAGCTCGCAATCATAATCGGGAAGACGTGTAAGGATGTGAGCGAGTCAGAGGCGCTGGGCTATGTTCTCGGCTACACGGCCGCCAACGAGGTATCCAGCAGGGTAGCACAGTTGTCGCAGAGCCAAGCGTGCTATTCCAAGGGCTTTGATGGCGCTTGTCCGCTAGGCCCGGTCCTTGTCTCAGCAGCAGTGGTGCCCGATCCCAGCACTTTCACCATTCGAGGGTTAAAGAATGGTGAACTGGTGCAGAGCTCCAGTCTAAGGTGAGCACGTCGTCGTAAAGCAGAGTCAGGGGTATGCGCGTTAGGACTATGATAACTAATCTTGGTTCATCCAGTGATATGGTCTTCAACTGCGCGAAGCTGGTAAGCTTCGTATCGCAGGGGACCACACTACCTGCAGGGACCGTCATCATTACGGGAACGCCTGCAGGAGTAGGCTTCGGAAAGAAGCCACCCAATTGTCTTTACGATGGTGACGAGTTCGTGGTGGAGTTATGGCCTCATATTGGAAGTTTATACTCTGTGTTCGAGACCGAAAAATAGGGGTGTTCAGCACGCATGCTGACAGCCACCGAATCGTAGAAGCATCGGAGTAATATGCAGTGTAAGGATGGCCTGGAAATAAAATGTCCGTATCACGTTGTTGGGCAATGAGGCCTATGCGAATGATAGGGGTCAGACACGCAAATGCAAGTCGTGTTGCCCAACAGGAGGTGATGGTGGGTCGTGAGATATCATCGCCCACATCTAGGAAAATTTTCGACGAATCTCGGGCATGACCGGATATTGTTTCAGCCTCGCGAGATCGAGGAAGCCCTCCGACAGCGGAGCCGCATTTGATATTTTCAATAACTCCGTAATGATTTATTCGATCTCGTCCTCGTGGTCAAATTTGTATGCCGAACATCGGGCAAACAGAGTAGAGTATTCAGTCGCATGTGCTGAAAAGCGATGCTGACTAGCTCAGTTTGGCTCAGACTCATTCGACGCCAGTGAACCGTAGCCTACCGCGCAGTATTTATTAAGACTAAATGTTAATAGCCTGAGCCTGACAGGGGTTCATATGCAATGAAACGTCCGGAAAAGCGGATTTGATTGCCGCATGCAAAGAGAATACCACGAAACGACGTCGATTTTGGGGAGGGGAATAAAAAAAAAACACCATCCATTACCTCGGTCTCAGCCAAGTACCATGATGTGTACACCATCATAAGAGAGATATTGGCTGATACCCCAATGCATAGTGAACACCATGCCCTTGCTTCCTGCATGACACCCTCAAGTCCCCCGACTAGTCCTCCAAGTTTGGTTCATTGACGTAGTGCAACAAATACATATCTTAAAGCATTGGCCAAGGGATCCTTTCTGGAAGATGCGGAACTTATGGCTGATGTCCCAATGGACAGCAAATCCCATCGAGCTAGTTAGGCATGTAGGTATATCAACCTTATTATGTCCTTTATCAGTATTATTTTTCCTTTATAAAATATTCTTAGCTCTGGCCGCTAAGGCTGCTGAGATACCCGTCTCATAAAATCCGGGACTAGGTAGACACTTCAGGAAGGCAGCAGATGATTTTATTCGCCGGAATAGGCACTTCTGTAAATCTGCAACTTGGCGTGCCTGCAGCGCCTATTTGAAGTGAACCACAGTAGGCTCAGCCAGTGTCGTTCGAGTAATGTTCAGAACGCGCGTTAGTTGCCGGGCCAAGCCAACCAAACGATAGGCTGAGCAGGGTTTCCTTGAATGTCAAACGGCTCCTATTCATTTCATCAACGGAGAAAATCGGGAAAGTATACAATAACATCCTCATCTTGAATTGCGCAAGACATCGACTTTCAACCGAGTTTGTTCAGTTCTCATGACCGACTATTAGTGTCGTTTATAGATCATTGTGCCTATCAGAGATGGACACGCAGTGAGTATGCCCAGGGCTGTTTCCCGTAGAAGATTTTAGTGTCAAGCCTTCATAAAGACGATGTCAAATCTTGATAGAAAGGTTAGTTATTTCGAAAGTTAGGTTTAGTATGTATTAGTAAACAAAATGACGAATCTGCAATATATTTTTCATCGGGTGCCGTCTTGCCTATTTAGACGATGCCCTCTAAATATGATAGATGCCGAAACTCTCGTAGCGCTGTAGCTCGCTGTCGTAGACTAGGGTCTTAAATCATATGGTCTTACTCAATCAGATTGGCCAGTCTTAGGTGACAAGGACCTGATTGTGCATTTGTTCCTCTCCTAGACCCCTGAGCAGGCCAATAATAGGCGTTCATATTAAGTCCTGAAAGAACGGTCCTATCCGTGATAAACCGCAGTAAAGCTAGAGCCAGTTTGTACCAGACTAAATCCGATATTCCACCGTGATAGCAATCTTTCGATGATGATGTCACTATATGTACTGTGAATGCCTATAGAGGGGAAGCGGGTTAGCGCCTTGCACCTCTTGGCGTCGTGGGATGTTCAGAGTTGAGGGAACGGGTCCGTGAGCGTTAGATCACAGCTCTGGGGGAATGCTGTTACACTCAAGCCGTTCCCCAATACCAACACTACCCTAGCGCATACTTGAGCCATTTGTTAACGGGGACCAACGGTTGGACGTGGTTCCCCCGGAGGCCCGTCGTATGAAGAACAAACAGAAAATCGGTAATGGCACCTTATCCGAATCATTCAGGAGAGGGCATACTTCAGGTGCCGTAGGTGGCGGCTTCTTGCTGATACCCGCGAGAGCCACGGGTGACGCCTGAATAGGAAAACGACTATGGAAGTCGCTTTGATATCGAGTGTATCCCACCATAACTCAAATGGTGAGTGAGGACCCAAGCCCGCATAAGAGAGAGTAATCAAACTGCCCGTAGTGGCATTCGAATAGTATTTTCGTGAGGCTTTTCCAGCTGAAAGCCCCAGCAGCCCCAGTCTGGAGATAGCCCAGCGTTACTCGACGCCTCCGGCCTCTTAGCTGCAACATCCATAATGGTTTGTGGGACTTGTCAAACGATCGAGTACGATCGGTCGGAACCAAGTTTTATGTATGATACTAATCATTATTCCTCTGACATACAGTACAACGTACGTAAAAGGGCATTGGATGTGAGTGTTTTAGTCGTTGAATCCTGCAATTAGTATTGGCTCGGCAATCTCGCTTGCGATCGAAATTCGGTCTTGTCCCGGAACGCCGTGTTTTGGTTGAGAGTACCGGTGTTTCTTGAAGCTTGACTCATCGTCGGATCTACATATACCAACGAAGTCTCCGCGTACGGAGAAAATACCAGGGGTGTAAAAAGTCCACAACAAGAATCCTACGATCTTCCGTCTTCCGAGCGCCTCACACGCCAGCGGCGGTAAACCGACGATTTGAAGGATTACGTACTTCGTTACGGAGATGGCGAAAGAAAAGAAAAAACATGCCTGCAGAGAGGAATCGTTAAAGCAGCTAATATAGGCGGATCGACGGACAATTACATGCATCTTCATGCGGATCGTGCATGAGTATGTAAGAGTGACGTCGGTAAGAACGTGTAAGAACGTGGAGAGATAGATAAACGAGTATATAAATCTGCAGTAAGGGTCGACGGAGGGTCGATGGCGTTTTAGTTTTGGTTTTTCTTTTTAATCATTTAATTATTTAATTTTTTCTTCTATTATCTATTCAAGAATAGATGTTGGTACATAAGACCAAGATGGATGGCTGTTGGTGTATGTAAAAGTTTTAATAAAAGTTTTAATCATGCTCTAACCGGATTATCCTAGTTTCTAGACAGTTGCATTAGGTGTAGTTGAAGCTGCGTAATACCGGATACCTACACTTATGTAGATCACCAACGTTAGGGCTTTTACATGCTTAAGTCTCTCACCAACCCCATGGAGGACCTTCCATGTCAGCTCTAGGTTACCCGTCTGCCCGTTACAGCGGGCTGATTCTCAGGCGCGGGGCGCCCCGGCGTCTCATAGCTGGGGTTTTAGGTTATGCATCTATGCGTCGTCTAGATAGGTTAGTTTATCTTAAGGGTAAGGTGCCTCCTTCCTTTAGGTACATAACCTAAGGTAGTTAGGTAGGTACGTAGGTACATACCTAGGTACCTATATTGTTAGGACCTTCCACAGCTTATTGGATGCCAATTCAAGGTTATTAAATTCAAAAATGCTTCCTTTTTCAACTTACAACCCATCACCATAATTAAGATATCCAGTCACACGCAATGGGGAATGAGTATAGATATCAGCACACTCCAGTTGGAATCATGCTTTAGGACCATGATCAGCAATAACACCCCCCTCATGTCCCCGATTCAGCCTGCTCGGCATCCCCTTGATAGCAATCCTGTTGAAATTCTGCTCGTTTTTTTCTCCTTCACCGCCCAAGAGGACAAAGGGAACGATGTCGTTGACTAGACCGCTCGCAGCCTGCTGATTGGAGGTTGGCTCCATTATCAGAGCGCTAATTGTGACGACGACTAACATACATAGCGTTGCGGCGGTAGACGTTAGCTGGAGAAGTGGATTCGGCTTCTCGGCTTTGCTCTTTTCTGTATCGTGGTCAGAGCAGCAGGGTCAATATCTGATCACGATGACCGCTACACCTCTATGCAGCGAAATGGAGAAGGATTGGAGAAGCGATAACTTCCATGGTTGCTCAAGTGACTACCTACATGCCTATATACATACATTATACATATCAGAGCCTTATTGCCTCCGCTTCTCATAACAGACAGCCACATGCTTCTGCTTCGAGGCAGCATCTCCCGATTAGATACTAGCCTAACCCACTACGTGGGTATGAATTACCCATCTGGGAACCTATCACAACTCGTCAGATGCGGAGGGGGGGTAGCATAGCCCATTTTTGCCCATTCCGATGGGACAAGGAACTGATTGGATGCCGTCGAGATGGGATCTGAGCACCATTACATACATGCTGTTTACGGTAGTTTTGTATGTATGATCACCGTCGCTCTCGAGTACCTAGATGAAGGTGCTTAGGCGATTAGCAAGACCCTCCCCCACTAGATATGGACCGTTGCCTATATCCTACCTGTATCCTCAGTCGTATATTCAACGGTGTGAAGCTTCATTGCCCCCCGCTTACTATCCGCGTTCCGAGCAAAGTGGGTTTACGAAAATAGCGTAGCAAAGCAGATTGGTAAGAGCACCAGAGAATACAACGTTGATTCTGGCGACGAGACTACACTAGCAAAAAACCCTGGGCCTCATCGGTGTGGGTATTGTCAATCTCGTCACTTTTCCCCTCTGCACGAAGGGCCGAAGAGATCAAAAACCCGAATCCACTTTTCCGATGATCTTCAGGACAAAGAGACAGGCTTGATCAGCTATGATCGACATCATGGCCTATCGCATGCAATCCTGAAACACAGAGTCCCTCGCCGAAGATTTGATAGTTGCACAACGGGCGGCGAAGAGACGCATGGCTCGAGATAGGGTTGTGCAAAGAAGCAGAGTAGCAAATAACAGTGAGCGCGAGTGCCGATGGAACCGAGCCAAGCCCACTTGGAAGATCCCGGAGACAAAGGACGACAGAAGACTGTTGACGTAGAAGAATCCAAGATAGGGCTTACCATCGTCCTGCAGAATAGTGGCGCCAATAACCCCAAACTCGGTTTCGCTACCCACGTGCTCTACTCACGTCGCATCGTCGACTTTGTGAGATTGCGAAATAGCTACGAAAGGAAAGGACACGGGATAAGATAAGCATGAGGTGCCATACCGAAGTTCGGACGCGTCGGCCCGTTGGGGGGGCGTAGCTGACATCCGTTGATAATCGTTTATTGTCACTTATTTGGGGGTTCCGACAAAGCCATAGGAGCTCTCCTGATATGAGAATTGGTGGCACCTATCAACATGTGCCGAGCTGATATTCGTTGCGGTGATGTCAGCTACTCGGTGGCCACTTCGTTTATCAAACGAGGGGGTTCTCGAAGGTCCATCCGCAAGTCAAGTTTGTGGCTGTGACGGTAACTCCCAATGGCGGCTTACTGCCATGCCAACTTGTATGCAAACAGCAAATCACTTAACTGATCAATCTTGAAGTGCAGCTCTTCGGGTTGCCTTGTGGCCTCCTTCGTCGTCTCCAATTGGCTGGGGCATATAATTCTTACTGAGCCCACAGACTACAGGCTATGTACCAAATGAGAGAGAACTCAGCTAACTAGGGTCTGCTGCGAGACCTTGCAGTTCTGTCATGTCGAGAGATTTCAGCGAGACAGCTCTGATCTACCATGTCGTGAATTGCATTCATAGCAGGGCTTATCTTACTTATGACCTGTATACCCCTTAACGAGGACCTGGCTCCCTAAGCAACGAGCGCCAAGAAGCATATTCTATGCATGCAGTCAATGCAGTCATCCCTTCAGTGTAGCATACAGCTCTCCATTTGGAAAATGGATACCTGGCTGTATGCAGGCGGCTGGCTTCATCAGACCTGAAATCATACCTTCGCATCGTTAGGACCTAGGAACATGTATCTATGGTGCAATATAGGCTATGGTATACCACAGGCTAAGAATAGACCTGACTGGAGGTTACTGATTAAATTAGTATTTTTATTATACATGCAGCCATGCGTGCAAGCAGCTAACCTATAACGATATCGACCGGATCCGTCAGGCTGGGCTAAGCTCTCAAGCTACTGTGGTAGACCCCTACTTACGATCCTTTTCTCGTATAGACAAGCGATTCTAATATGGAAAACCATCGTGCATGCATCTTATTTCCCTTTATTCTCTTCGCCGGTCTCCATAGCCTCGATTTCTCCTCTCCTGTGCGTACCTCGTAGACGGCGCTCGCTCCGCGGGCTTCTGGCCGCTGGCCGATGGGCTTTTCCACTTTCCCCCTCATTTTTTTCAATTCAACCATCCCCTCACGACGTATGTGTTATACATACACGAAAGCATGACGATGAGGTACCTTGCATAACATAAGGCTACAAGAGAGGGGGAAAAGTAGGAGTACAATGCAATTCTAGTTGCGCGCCTCGAGTAGGGTTAACTTTTGCGTGCGTCTGTTAGTGTCTGAGCACCTAGGCATCTGGGCACCTGGGCACCTGGGCAGGGCAAGGTAGGGTATTATTGACATTGATATTCCGTACATACATCCATCTATGATGGACGATGGACGATGGACGATGGACGGGTGTAAGCGAGAGAGGCTCTGCCGAATTTAGGTTAGGGATTTGAAAGGCTTCGATTTATTCTTACCTAATATAATATCATCGGTTGTCTATCAATTTATTTACATGTCCATTTACATGCCCTAACGATAGGTACATAAGTCCCGCTAAGTCTATGATTTAATAGTACTTGGAACAAACAAACAAACAAACAAATAGCCCTGTGTGACAATAGGATAATGGAGAAGTAGAATTGGCTTCCAAGGTTTAGGAATGTGATAATTGTGGTAGTAGCCAAGTAAGTGCCGTATCAAATGTCAAGAGTTTTTACCATCTGCGCATAAAGTATCGTACATTAAGTACCTAACGTTAGGTATGTACATATGGGCATATGGGCAATGGTCATACATATTGATACATATAATCAATAACTATATACAATATACAGTACATTACATAGGAATTCGCTGTTAGCAAGAATCCCGTTCCTAAAGTCCAGGTGCCTCGTGACCCTAAATCATGCCACACCGCTTGAATGCAACGGTATCTAGGTACCCATTTTCGAAATCCCATCTAGCTTTTTTTTTTTTTCCTCTCACAATTTTTTAATTTGTTCCCCTAACCCTTCGAAAAAGTTAGTTCACTTTTTTTTTTCCTTCTCTTTATTTTTCCCCTTTCTCTACCACCCCCCCCCCCCCCCCTCTCTTTTCAGTGAAGTTATGCAAAGCCTACCTCATAATATAGGTAATCTTAGGCTTTCTTTAACGAGATTGGGCAGCTTTTCCTGTAGCTTACCTTAGGTACGATGGTGAAGTATTAACCACCTCATTTATCGTTTTCGTCTTTTTCTTTTTTCTTTTTTCTATTTCTTCTATGTAGTTGCCTTCTTCGTAGCTCCATAGTTCATACCCCTGCCCCTGGCCTTAACCCTCCCCCCCCTGTTGCCCTGTTGCCCTGTTGCCCTGTGCCCTGACAGTTGAGTCGGATGGCCTTGTCCTATCTGCCATCATCAGAAAGGGCTCAACTGCTTAAGCGTCCACCACCATGGGCATATATAAAGTTAGTCCCGTCCCAACTTAAAATAACCCACCCTTCCTAGGGATATCAAATATCAATAGTCTCACGTACTCGACAGAAATACTTAAAGGGCTCGTTTCCCACTCCATCGTACTTCTAAAGCCCACCTACTTACACAAAACCATCTTCGAGGAAGTAGGCTTGCTACAATAGACCTCTTCTCATACGTACACGTACTCATATATACTTGTTGTTGTTTCTTCACAACCAAAGACATACATACTTCAACTGTCTTCCATCTCACATAAAACTCGTCTACATAAAAGTGACAAGACTCTTGATTACGACACCCTCAAGACTCAAGCTAAGCTTCAACTACTCTAAGCCTCTTTCGGCCAACTGTCCGTCACCATGTGCGTCAAGGAGCGCCAACCTCTCGTCGATGGCTGCTGCACGTTCTGCTGCAAGGCAGTCGACTTTGGCACCCACGACTACTGCGGGAACAACTATGCCTGCCCGCGGTGTCCCGATTAGGAGTCGTCACCCTTTTCCTCGGATGCAAGCTACGGGGCTAAGATCCACGAGCTCGGCTACTGTCCTTCTCAAATCACACATCTTTATCATCTTCCCCATTCTTCTGCTTGGCCTCGACGAGAACTACTACTACTACTACTACTACTACTACTACGACGCCAGCATCGCGCGCGCAAACTGGGTCAACTCACTTACACTAGTGACTCAAACTTGCTCTACTGTCTTTACATACATACCCACATACCCACATACCGTATACAGAGTACCGACAACTCCTTCACCTGGGTCACCCCCCCGCATGCAAGGCTGACGATAAGACGGTGTCTGGTCTAGGTGTGTGCAACACCCTGTCTCGACGGTACCTCTCTCTTAAGGTTGTCGTCTTAAACTGGGCTATGAGAGAAGAAGGCCTGCTTTGGTTGTATTGCGTATGCTGCATACTGCAAACTGCACTGTAACTCTTCGTTACCATACGTTTTGACCATTCCCCCCTCCTACTCCTCCCACGCACCTTGTTCGTTATGGCTCACCTCGACTCCATGCACCCTGACCACCCTGACCACCCCCCTCATGTACTACTTTCGTTGTTGCATGGCCATGCGTTCTCGTGTTGGTTGTCCATTTTTATCATGGCTTTTTCTTTTTTCTTACACGCATCCTGATTTGGCATTCCGTTCTTTGTTGTTGTCTTGGGATGGGGCCCGGATGCGAACTGGAGTTCATATGGAGCAACGAGCAGGGATTCCGGGCATTGCTTTTTTTGTTTGGTGTGACATTTGGGCGCTGCAAAAGAGTTTAGGAACTGAATATCATGTGTAAGGGCGCAGGGTCTACGGGCATTTTTTCTCCATTATTCTAGGTATACAGTACTGATGGAGCTATGGTGTTTCTTTTTGTCCCCCCCGGCTGTTTTTCTCCTCCCTTCCACCGTTCCCTGAAAGTTAGCGAGTAGATCCCAGATGGATCCGCACAGCGTAGCGGGAATTCTCTTACTTGTCTCTGGTCTCTGGTCTCTGGTCTCTTAGTCAGGACGTGATGATATATCCCCTGGTTATACCCACATTGGTTGGATATGAGATCTAAAAGCTGACAGCCGCGGGCTGGGGAATAAGTGGTGTTTTCCAGCCTTATTTGAGATGAGAATTGTCTATGGATTGGTGCATTTTTTGCAGAAGAATTGGACAACGGCCAGGGGGGGAAACGACCACTACCGCCCACCGGAGTGTCTCAACTTGCATGGGAAGTGAATGTCTAGGAAGGGAAATTGTTTTTTCTTTTGCGGAGAAACGACATCGAGAACATGTGGTTTCTATCTATTTTCTTATATTGATACCTTGTCACGCGGGCAATTTGGGATGATTATGCTTATTCTCGATGATACCAAAGCATGTTATGAGAATCAGATCAATCAATGAATACAGTTAGTTATGATATATGATACAATCTATCATACCCCAGAATCCCATCTTTTCTCCCTGTTCTTCCGTGATCCATCCTTACGATTCAAGCCTTAGGATCCCCGTCCGTCTGCATGTTCAAGGTCTCGCCTCCCAAATATGGTCCTGACGGCCCCCATCGACCATCGATCCTCGGCGCCCGGCGACCGTCGTACCGGGAGTGGTAGGAAAATCCTTAGGCGGAGTCCATGCTACCGTAGCAAGGATGGCAAGGATGAATCGCGTTGTTAACGCTGATTACTTCTAACATTGACATTGGGGTCTATCTGACACGCATCTCGGGTTTCGTCCATGACTATCACCGCTCCCGAGATCATATTTTTGCTTACGGGGTTGCCATGCCATGTACGTGTGTGTAACGTGCTTACGCCGCACCGAAGCTTGCTATTCAACGGACCACCGTAGCTGATCAAGGACTCTAACCCGTGCTAGACAGCCGCAAGGGGCTGATAAAGGACAGTCCCATGCTGCATTTTATTTCCCATTTGGGTTATATATTTCATGGTAGTAAGTATTCCGAGACAATAAGATGACATCTATATCATACGTCTCGCGATAGATAATGCCATTATGCTTGGGTAAACGTGGGCCACGTAGCTTCCTCTGCTTCAGGATTCTACATACATGAACATACATGAACATACATGAACATACGTGCGCGCATCGTCATATACATGAGCTATCAACCCACAAACCGGGATGGGTCATGGGAGCAACGAGCTACAGTAACCACCTATCGCCATTCCTCCTATATACTTCGGCACAATGAACCAGGAAGAAGTCGAAAGTTACGTGAGGGACAAGGGTGTATAAGCAATGTTTAGGTAGGCGAACAAATGCGGACGTCTCGGGACTGATCAACAGAAAAGCTATGTAGGTCCGTCTATCCCGGAGAATAACTACATAAGTAGTATCGATAGGGTGCCCTGCTGTCCTGCTGCCCACCATCTTGATGCTGCTGCCGCAGCAGCTGCCGCCACTGACTCGCGAAGGACTAGCCCGTCACCCCATCGTTGGCAGAGATCCAATCACCCTGAACACGGAGGCGAACCCGAGTAAACCACTGTTTGGGTCAGCGGGGACGATATCGATGATTCGATATGCATTCTGATATCTGATATATTCTTACTCGATGGCAATGAAACCCCAGTGGCAAGAAGCATCGTCATCATCATCATCATCATCATCATCATCATCATCATCTTGCAAAAATTTGGGTGGGCAAGCCCAACCTATCTAACTAGCCTCCTACGGCAAGGGTCGGAAGAGGAGGCACATTGCCTTGCGCTCCTGTTATCGTGGAAGTATCGGGGTTTGCTTGTCATCATTGATTATTATAATCTCTTTCGTTTTCTGGTGATAAGATTGGTCGGTCAAACAACGGGTGCTCAGGGTTCATACATACACATGTAGGTACATACATGCCCGTGCCGCGAACAGATTCCAACCAAATCATGTCCGCATCACCCAGGAAGTGAATAGAACAACGGGAGAAGCAGAGCCTGCCGCAAACTAGATAGTCCCAGCCCTGTAGGAAGGATGCTAACGGGCTCTCTGCAGCATGCATAGCAGCTAAGGAGCAGACTTGGCGATGTTGTGTTGGAAGAGGAGCTGGGTGGTGGGCGAGGGTCCAAGTCGGTTCAGTGGAGTACAAACGGGCAGGGTGTGCGGTCGGTGCAGCGTGAATCGTTCCTGTCCTGTCCGGTCCTGCATGGCGGGTTGCAGGAGGGCATAACGCAGCTCCGTCTCTCATTCGCCGCCAGTGCGGTTTGTTCCTAGCTATCAGCGAACTAGCTGCAATACCTACATACTAGGCTACGGTTTTCCCCCATGGGGCCCATGGGGGTTAGGGATTGGCAGTCCGTGCTCCTAAACACCCTTCATCCGCCTTCTGTCGGCGCGACGGGCAAAGCAAGAGAAGCGACAGGTACGAAACGTGCCTAATGTATGTGAATAAGTGCGCGTACGCGTGTGTCTGTAGGATGTACCCAGCCAGGCAAGGCCACCCTAGGTAGATAGCTGCCTAGCTCGGAGCAGTCTCGTCAGTGTCTCCCAAGTTAGAGGAATCGACGGATCTTGTGGAGCCAAAAGAGTCGAATTGGACATCGCTGTGCTGCGCTGTCGCTGTTGTGTAACGGGCAAATCGCCCGGGATATGAGCGACTGGAACTGACTGGGTGACCCACGGGCTGATTAGCCAGATATTCTTGTGTGGGTTGTGTGGCATGTGGCATACCTAGGTCAAAGTTCGCGGAGGACTGTAGACGATGATTTGAAAGCGATTCCTAAAGCAATATACCTAAATTGGCATGCCTTATTGGAAAGAGGGGTACATTTTGTCCGGCAGACATGGAGGAGCTAGGGGTAGAAAGCCACATTGCTACTTGGTGGTCCACTTTGGCTAGGTAGGGATGAGTTACGAACATGGCAATGGGCGGATTAATCAACTACACCAAGGCCCCGGATCCCATATTGCGGCAATGGGCCGGACTGAGTACGCGAATGACGACGGCTTCTGGCGGTTGCCGCTGTTTCCTGACTCTTTCCTGACTCTGGAGAAGGCCTAGAAATTCACCGACCTCACCTTGAGGGTGCCAGGGTCCTGCTATGTAGGAAGCACCATCGATTCCCTGCATGCAGGTCGACCGAGAAGGGAAGACATTACTTAAGCAATAAATGCCAAGGGATAGCAACGCAGATAGCCTGGCCCACCAAGAATTCCTAGTCTTTGGATTATCTGGCGTAAGGAGCTTCTGCTGCTGAAAGGGCGTTACTCTGGGATGGGGTTCTCCATGACCTTGATGTTCCTTTGATCGTCGCTGCAGGCACGTATTTCTTGGTCCAACCCAGCACCCATTAGTCACATATCACATTTTGATATCTCATCTTCCCTCTGGGGCCTCTGGGGACTCAGCCTAGTGGAGCTGGTCCCCACGGCCCCGACGACGGCAACATCGTCTTACATCGGATACAACTCATCAGGCCATTCTCGATAAAAGGGTACTTGAACATGACCAGGTCCGGCAGATAATCCCCCTGCAACAATCCCTCCTCCGAAACACCAAGGCGGGCCAAAAGGGTATCATTTTCTAAACAACAAACAGGACGCTCTTCGCAGCGTGCATTTTGCGTAGTTCCAAATTCTTGGTACCGTAACGGAGATTCGTGGTGAATCATTCCTGGTTCGGTCACCTTGGTCCGGTGACCCCCACTCCCATCCAAGCTTCACTCTCAAAGTTTAGCTACCGCTTATATTGAAAACCTGCCCGGGAATAATTAGATATTAACTTACAGCTGCGACCCTGCCTGTTATGCTGTAGCATCGCGAGCAAATCATATGATGATCGCCACATACAAACCTGGTGTAAGGCCTGTGCCTGTTTGGAATATTTCGCGACGCTCAAACGGCTCGGCAGGCTTTAACCTGGTCGGCAGATGTCTCGGCATTCTTTATCAATAGAGGCTTAGGAAGACAGCAGCGATCGACGACTTATCATACTTGACGTACTTGCCCTTGCCCTTGTCTATCTCGTGGTACCGGTCCCAGAAGCGATTGTAAAGAGGCTCAAGCATCTGCTGCATGTCCTTGGCCAACATTTGTCTCACTTCTCGTTCCATGCTGTAGGTCTTATGCCGAGCTACTAATTCATCAAAAGATGCGTTGAAAATCTGGAATTTTGCCTTGATACTGTCCTTGTCTTTGCTGCTGAGCCCCTTGAGAATCGATGCTGATTCGGACGAGCCAGAAGGCGGCCGTTGGGTCCGATTCGTGTGGATTACGTCAAATAAGTGCATCGATACATCTTTGCATGCCTCAGCATAGTAGGCCTTCGCCTTTTTGCGCCAGCCCTCTAAGGCGCCGAGCTTGCCTTCTAAGATTGGTTTGAGGTCAGAGTCCCGAATCATGCGTTCAATGATAGTGACACTGTTCGCTAAAAGCACACCCCAAATGGACTTTCCTTTTAGCAATGCCCTTGCTTTCTGCTCGAGCGCCGACATTAGCGCATCTATCGTATCAGTACAATAGTGCGCAAAAATCTCCTTCCCATCGGCACCAATGTCGAACGATGCCAGGCTAGGAATTCCGTCCATACTAGTGTTCGCGGCAGCAGCCGACCTCCAACCACCGTCCCCTAGCGAGATCATAATGCTGGATATTGGCCGAAGGAAGTCAACCATGGTTTGCAAGCGTTGCATCGTCTCTGATACAACGGGCACCGGCGAACCATCCGACGGGAGGGTTTGAATTGCCCCCACTCTCCGCTTCGTCTCCTCAAGCAGCTCGGCAAGTGAAGACTTGCCCGTCTCGCGTACTGGTTTCAATGCGGCGGCCAGGGTAGATCTAAGTTCGCCTGTGCGCTCTTCGATATTGTTGGACAGATTAGACATTATCTCAATGACTTCGTATGCAAGATAACAGTCGGTGTTGAGATGGGCCTTGATGTGATTATTGAGTTCTCGAATCGTTCGAGCCAATTCAGCCAGCGGGGCTTGACATGTCATTTGAAAAGCTGGTCCCCAGTCTTGTCGCATAAATATGTTGCAGATGTTGTCGTATTCGGCAACGAATAAACCTTCCATTGCCTGCGCATACATGCCAATTCCATTGGTACCAGCCCGATAAATGGCATCTGGACTCTTTTTCTTTGCCGTGTTCACGCTTGCATATGCCAGGTTTACTAGGGTCTGTTGTAGATATTGTCCTCTTACTTCCGCATAGATTTTGATTAGCGGGTTCTCGGACAAAGAGTTGCCAGATACATAAGAGTTCATTAGGCTCAGGCGCGAGATCTTATCCTGGGTCAATAAGGGGAACGGCGTATTTTTGGTCGTATATTGTAGCGGTTCAATGGAGCGAGGTGTCTCTGCCCGCAACATCTTGTCAAACGAGTTCTCGAGTTGGGTATTTCCAGACTTGATTAAGCGTTGGAGATCAGTCATGGTTTGCTGATTTGCGCGCAGGTTTGAGGTTTTCATGTCTGCTAACGCCTTATTCAACCGTTTAATGGAGTTTAGGTAGTTGGATAGACCGGCCTTCTCGGGCCCCTGGCGGATAATTGCTTCTTCGTCATTCTTTGAATCGGCGGGCTGGCGAAGTCTCTCTATAGCTCCGATGACGGCATCGATGTCTATGGGAATTTACGAATTTAGTACAAGGCATAGGACACAACGCTGTTGGGTGGTATATAAAAAGGGACGAGCTCACTGTTCCCCAAGACCTGAAGCTTTTTTGTTTCGCCAGTGAGGGGACCTGACACATCTCGCACACTCTTGCCGGTAGCCTCCAACCTTCCTAGACATGCCTGGATCTTCTTGGTCAATTGGGTTGTCTTCTCTAGTCGCGAGTTGAGCACATCAACTTCAGCACGAGCTTCTTCATCAGCGGCATGGCGACTGTTAGACAATCCTACGGCCATGGTCCACTTCTACTTTGCGACAAACAACACAAATCGCGAAATTCGAAAGCGACACCGATAATTCGAGGGTCAATGAGTGTATCGTATTGGTGGATGCGAACGTTGATGTTTAGTTTAGGTTTATGGTGTCAGGAACTGGTGCGGCAGGAAATAGGGAAGTACCTAAGTAATACCTTGTAAGGATGACGGCAATCTCAACTAGATGGTACCTAGGAGGTAGGTTTTGTGGCTGAATCTGGGGGGCTGTTTAGACCGTTAACACATGCTATCAGCTGATTCCGCTAAGCTTAGACCACTGAAGTTACACGCCGTAGTTTGACCGCACATGCCTAGGTACCTATGTACTGATATTCCTTGACCGGTGTCTCGTCACGCCAATCATTTATTCTCCAAGATGTGCTAAATGCGCCTAGGTTTCCCGACTAAATGCATGAAACCTTCTATATCAAGTTAACTTGGTCTTTTTATTTAAAACTCGCGAACTTACAAAATAATTGCCCTTTTACATACAAATATATATCTGTATGTACATGAGTAGTTGCTAGTAAACGTTACTTGCAAGCACTGAAGCCGGAGGTAATCGGAGGATTTAGATTACTAGATTGGGACTTTAATTGATGTGGGGCATCTGCAACCACTTTACAGGTTTACCTAGTAAAGACGCGTTCCACGCGGAAAGCGCGTTTAGAGACGCGACATGGATTTTTTTACTTCCCCTCTGCCCCTTATCCTAAACAACCTGAACTACCTAACATAGCAATTCGACCTAGATCTTCAACCTCCCCTCCCCCACCTATACCACATTGCTCCGTACTCAACCACTAAGAATTATCGTGGCATCAAGCTATCCTTCTAATTACTGTAATTTACTGTCTTTTCCCGCCAAGTCAGAAGATAAGAAAAGTTAAGGCATCATGGATAGTTTCATGCTTCGAGATGAAGCGGCCAAGGAGCGTATTCGCTTGGCCGAGGAGTTCCTCGATCCTCGTAAGTTACCTACTAAACAGCGCCGGCATCAGTATGATATTAATGAATACTTTCATCGACAGATGACCAGCATGCGAGGAGTTACAGATCCGATATCATTCTAATGCTTCAGAAGAACCAGAGGCGGTTAGTCGTCAATTTAGACCACGTTCGTGACCACAACGCAGAACTTGCAGACGGCTTATTATTCGATCCCTTTGACTATACCCTGGCCTTTAACCATGCGCTTAAGGAGATCGTAAAAACTATCCCTCAAGCACGACCCGATCAGACCGATCCAGATGTCTTATACTACTGCGCTTGGGCAGGCAGCTTCGGTTTAAATTCTTGCAATCCGAGAACGCTATCATCAAACCACCTAAACCATATGGTATCGATCGAAGGCATCGTCACAAGATGCTCGCTCATCAGACCAAAGGTTGTGAAGAGTGTGCATTACAATGAGAAGAAAAATATTTTCCACTTCCGTGAATATCGTGACCAGACTATGACCAATGGTGTAACTACATCAAGTGTCTATCCCCAAGAAGATGAGGAGGGTAACCCACTCCTAACAGAGTACGGATTCTGCACATATAGGGATCACCAGACCATTTCTATACAAGAAATGCCTGAGAGAGCTCCCGCCGGTCAACTCCCCCGTGGTGTGGACGTCATTTTGGATGATGACCTAGTTGACAAGGCTAAACCCGGTGACAGAGTCCAACTTGTCGGTATCTTTCGAACACTTGGAAACCGAAACACAAACCACAATAGTGCACTCTTCAAGACCATAATCCTAGCAAATAACATTGTCCTTCTCTCGTCCAAAGCAAGCGGCGGTGTGGCGACAGCAACAATTACCGACACCGACATCCGTAATATCAACAAGGTTGCCAAGAAGAAGAATCTCTTTGAGCTTCTATCGCAGTCACTAGCGCCTAGTATCTTCGGTCACGACTATATCAAGAAAGCGATCTTACTCATGTTACTGGGTGGCATGGAGAAGAATCTGGAGAATGGTACACATCTCAGAGGTGACATCAATATTCTCATGGTCGGTGACCCTTCAACGGCCAAGTCGCAACTTTTGCGCTTCGTGCTCAATACTGCGCCGTTAGCCATCGCAACAACCGGTCGCGGTTCATCGGGCGTCGGTCTAACGGCGGCTGTCACAACTGACAAGGAAACCGGTGAAAGGAGACTAGAAGCCGGCGCTATGGTTATGGCAGACAGAGGTGTTGTTTGTATTGATGAGTTTGATAAGATGTCGGATATCGATCGAGTTGCTATCCACGAAGTTATGGAACAGCAAACAGTCACCATTGCCAAGGCCGGCATTCATACATCGCTCAATGCCCGCTGTAGTGTCATTGCAGCCGCCAATCCTATCTTCGGTCAATACGATACTCACAAAGATCCCCACAAGAATATTGCCCTCCCAGATTCCCTCCTATCGCGTTTCGATCTCCTGTTTGTCGTTACGGATGATATCGAAGATACCCGAGATCGCCAAGTTTCCGAGCACGTCTTACGTATGCATCGCTATCGGCAGCCTGGTACCGATGAGGGTGCTCCTGTTCGCGAAAACGCCCAGCAAGCCCTTAGTGTTGCGCTACAAAGTCAAGACGCCACTCAAAAACCTACCGAAGTATACGAGAAATTCGACGCGATGCTGCACGCCGGTGTTACTCTTACTACTGGTCGCGGCGCCAATAAGAAGCGGGAAGTTCTCAGCATTCCGTTCATGAAGAAGTATATCCAGTACGCAAAAACGAGAGTCAAGCCTATACTAACTCAGGACGCCTCGGAGCGTATTGCGGAAATATATGTCGGGCTGCGCAACGACGAGATGGAGGGCAACCAAAGGAGGACATCTCCTCTGACCGTCCGTACATTAGAGACGTTGATCCGTTTGGCAACCGCGCACGCCAAATCACGACTCTCGAACCGAGTAGACGAACGAGACGCGTTGGCAGCCGAGGCTATCCTCCGTTTTGCCCTATTCAAGGAGGTGGTTGAGGATGAGTCAAAACGAAAGCGCAGGCGTACTCAACGGCCTGAGTCAGACTCATCAGACGAGGACAGCGACGATGATGACGGTGATCGTGGTGATAGCAGCTACAGGGGATCGACGGCTCGCGGTAGGACTGCCCCGTCAACCCGCACGAATGGACGCAGCCAGCCATCTACCAACGGCAGCCGCCGTCCTAACGGCACGAATACCAGCAAGACTCCAGGTACTCCCGCACGAGGAAATGACGACGACGATGAAGACGAAGATCTTTATAATGCCACACCACGACGTTCTAACAGAACCGGTCCTACATCCTCATCAAACGCACCCGCAACATCCCAAGTCTCATTCGCCTCCTCCGTACCGGCCTCGCAACTCGAGACGCAGGAAGAAGACACGCAAGAAGATGCGGAGCTAGCCGCCGGTGCAGCCGAGCTCAATATCGAAGTGCCGATCACTCCCGAGAGGCTAGCGACATTCCGGACGGCGCTTGGACAGCTTCTCAGCACGGACCTGTTCGAAGACGACTCGGCCAACGTGGCTCAGGTCATCGAGGCTGTTAACAAACGTATTGAAGGGAAAGAAGCCGCTTTCTCGAGAGAGGAGGCCGTCAAGGCGCTTAAGAAGATGGATGATGCGAATCAGATCATGTAAGTGGCTTCTCCTTTCGAAGTTTGGGCGTATCAATACTAATGCGATGGCACAGGTACACGGATGGCGATTTGGTATACAAGATCTAAGGCACGATGAATACGACTCGAGAGATATCGTTGCCACCTTGGATTGGTTGATTTATAGGGTTTGATGAGTTATGAAGACCGATGAGTTTGGTGGTCACCATGATGTATCACGATCTTAGCATCCCCACCCTTACGGCCTTGCCGGCATATGAAGCCTGCTATGGTATTCCAATACGAGTACCAACCAATCCGCTTATTAAATGGATATAGTGTTACGAAGAGACGTGAAGGAGGGTTATGTAATTTGACGAGCCACGCTGTTAATGGATATTGATTCGAATTGTTCGAATAAGCTATACCAATGAATAGGCTCGATATTAAGTTCTGAATGAAAGAACATTCTGTCGTGATACTTTATACCATAGTATCCTAATCGTCAAAGAATCAAACCATTAAATACTTTGAAGCCCGATAGTTTTGAGGCTTTGGTCTGTATCTTAGCTAAGAGCCATATTACGGACAAAACTCATAGCAGGTACCTAATAAAACTGGAGGAACTACGTAACTAGCTCGCAGTTAAGACCTTTTACACATTTGGGAATGTCTTCTAGTTTTGAGCATTCTCATTCATACCTACATGTTAGGGCTTACTAGTTTAACCAAGACTACCCAGGTACTTAAGTTCCGCCTCTCCCAATACCCCTCATTAAGAGTTATAACTTAGATATATGTATAGTGTTAGTTAGGAATAGCTTAACCTAGATGATTAACAATCATGCGTTATACACTCAAGCATTCACAAGACAAGCACAAGCACAGGCGAAAATAGCCTACATCTTAAAGAAATCAAATCAAATCCATTTCGCAAGAAATCAGTCCGATATCAAGAATCCCTAAACCTATTGCCGTGCTATCCCTGAAACGAAGGGGGCAAGTGTGGTTCTCTCTCTTCCTCGCAGAGACGCCGGGCAAATGAAAACAACAACCCTTTAAAAGACAAAAGTGCTAGTGCTAAGACCGCATCTAGCCTGCAAATGCACATGCGTCGCAATGCCTCTATAACAGGCCATTAAGAGATCGACTGAACGATCCAGGATTCAGGGTGTTTCATCTCACGCCTGGTTGCACGAACATGTGCTAATTATCCTATAATAATATAACCTTTCTGCATAGACTCCAAACCCGTCCATCCAAGTAAACTGGTCCGTCCATGCGTAATGGTCAAATCGTACGAGTGTATCTAGGCAATAGCCAAATCACCGCGTAACTAAAAAAGAAACTCACCACCAGGTGGTGGGCGCACTAAGAAGCTTTATCACCCAGCATCTTCGCAATCTCCTTAGGCATATCTGCAAACTTCTCCTCGAACGTCTTCTCAAACTTCTCACAGTTGGCCCACATTGGGGAGCCTCGTTCGTGGTATGCGTAGCAGTTGGTGAAGATCTGGCGGATGTCGGCCGAGAACTGCTGCTCGTCGTGGTACTCTCTTCGATCCATCTTGCTTTTGATCGTGCTGAGATCCATAGGCATCTTAATCTTTGTCAGGTAATCCGGTACGCCATCTTCGACAGGGCGGACAGGTTCGCGGAAAGGACCGACCAGACGAGTCCAGAAACCTATTGATTATGTATGTATTAGTATGAAATGACTAATGGCAGATATGAGTGATTTATAAGGTAGGTAACTTACCAGGTCCAGATAACATCTTACCCAAGAGTCGCTCGCAGAACCATAGCTTATCTTCCGTTGAGTATTGCGAAAGGTCGGCATTTAAGCTAGATCGCTTAAACTTGATAGGCTTAGGCGTAGGAAGTGATGCTCTTGAGGCGGGTTTCTTAGCCCCGACCTTTCTTTCACCAGAAGTTAGCCTATTCGAGGCCACATCCGAGTGACGATGCTTCTGTGGCTTGGTGTATACATCGTCTTCACTATCTTCTGGGTCTAGATAGTGGACATTCTTCCTCTGGGCCTGGCTGGCAGGGGATAGGACAGGATTAACCTGTATGACTGGCGAAGAGTTCAGATGGCTCATTGCTATTACAAGCTCACTGAGTACCTCTTGAGGCAAAGACTTCGTGAATTCTTGTCTGGACTCTGAGGATCTTATGTACTCTGCAGCCCAGTTCAGAAGGAGCGTGCGGATAGAGGAGCCCTCTGGAGCGTCTTTCCACGCCTGAACAAGGAGAGGCGTAGCGGGAATATGCTGTGTGACACGTCTGCATTCAGCCATAGCTTCGAGGGCCTCGTCGCAGAGACCTTCAATACCTAGCTCGTTTCCCAGCTTCCAAGCGGCAATCAGAATTTCATAGCCAGGGAGAGAATCGGCGTCGGGAAAGAGGCTTCCGGTATATAAGAAGTTCTGGACAAAGCCAAAGATTTCAGGGGTGGCTTGGGGAAGCTTGACAATATGCTCAAGCCCGGCGTCTTCCCCCTGTTTGTTGGCAAACTGGATTCGATAGTGGGAGGACTTGGCGCAGAGGAAGTCCTTCTGGATGCCAAAGGGGATCTCATCTTCACCAACGAGGATGACAACGAAGATGACATGGGGTTGCCTTGATGATACAGAGGTGAGTAATAATGATAAATATATCGGACAAGAGCATTGACTTACAACCAAGAGAATTTGGTAGGAACGACAACATTTACTGCGGCATCTACCACAGCGTCCACTCCCCCACTTACAACCTCTGCCATTGCTTCAGGTTCCGACGCCATGATTTCACCCCCTATGTTAACCAGAGGTCAGATGGGAAATAGTTTTAATGATCGGACAAGTTCCCCAGAGGTGATGGTTTATGTTGGTGAGGGAGAGACGCCAGAAAGATGCAATATGTAAGATGTAAAATGTAAAATGTAAGACAATAAAAAGCTTTAATGAGGAATGAAGTTTCAAGACTGATGCAACAGTTCGGTTGGGAATAATTAATTCGTCAAGTTCAAGTTCAAGTTCAAGTTCGGATTGAAGGTGCGACGCGGGGTTCTTTAATAAGATGCAAAATGACAATTGCAGAAGGAACGTACCTAGAATAGTGAGTCAGTTGAAAATCCGAATATCCATAGACCTATTGATTATCTATTTCCTACTCACTCGGACTTTTAATATTCACTTCATGAGATTCATCAGACCTGGAGCAGACAAAGTGCCAAGCCACAGCTTCACTCAAGCGCTAAAACTTTACGCCACAGCTATCGCGATTTGGTCGCGACTTCTTCACTGTAGATACAGCAAAGTTCCAAGAGTTTTCAAGAAACTTTGGCGAAAGTAAGATGGTTTAAAGAGTGCATACATTCAATTCTCCATAGCATTGTTGAAATGGAAGGTGGAGACGGATTGACTGAGTAGGTCTTGTTGATGATGAGTTCCAGCGCGATGTTAGATTCGCAGCTGCCGTCAAGAAAAATGCAAATGGGAAACTCCAAGTCAGTGTCAGGGGTGACACCAGGTGCGGGTACGTACAAATGAGCCTCCACCCCAGCCACAGCAACCTTAAGCTCTAATATACCTATGTATGTAGTACCTGAGCTTATGTAACCATATGCTGCACAGTTCCATATATGTTATTGCTACTGCGCATACAGCGGTTATCTACCAATTCACACACATATTACTACACTTCAATTATAGTTACACCGGATAATCTTAACTTTATTGTCGTACTTCGTACTAAGCATTGAATTGTCATTGACGCGTCTTCAGATATTGAAGTATACATATATTGTACCTACCTACATGTACTTGACAATTGACTCAAGCCTGTATAGTTCATTCTAACTAGTTAATTATTCATTATGTTCAATTGTCTCTTTTACCATAGCCCAGTGTTGTGAGTGTAGCAAATATGCTATGAAGTTGACAACGTTATAATTCATGTCTTAAAAGAGAATGATTGACCACATGGTATTCATTCAGCTTAACCAACTTAAAAGGCTACCTTGCTTATTATAATCTAAGCATGTAAGTAACTAACAACTATGTCAGCAACTTATGCTGTAAGAGTTTCCAGCGTTTAACTTCCTTCAACTATTTACTACTTAGATAGGTATGCATGTTGCACAAAGCATTCACTAATATTAGTAAGAATCTGGGACTCAAGCTTGGGCCATATAACATTAACTTGGTAAATACATACTTCCTAGTGAATGAATTATAGTAGTTAATATCTAGCTTACATTCAGCCTCTAGAGCTTCTCATATATTCATAGTGATATCATTGTCTCCTTTCAACGCTCCCTAAAAGTACTAGGGAATTGTGAATCGTGTCAAGAGCTCTTGTGGCCCGACAAGGAAAACACAGCTGGAACGTGCATCCGTTCACCCATGGGTTCCCACTCGAATCTGTATGAAGTTCACGGGCTATCGGTTATCCATTGACCAACGAGCGGCCGCATTTCGATCCATGACAACATGCTTCCCAGTCACTCTCTGTTCGCATGTAAAGACCTGCCTAATCCCACGCGCCTCGATAAACAAACCCATGAGATTCTCCAAGAGGTCCCGCCCCTTGCGTATTCCCTTATTCTTCACCCTCCGGGATTGGTTCAGATCATGCGATTGTATTTGTCGGGTTGCTGTGGAACAAGCGCTACCGAACTGGATCAGCTGTTGGTGTGGACGTACGAGTGAGCTATCATTTTGTTCTTTATATGTTTGCGAAACATCGCAAGTTAAAAGAAGCAAGATGCTGTGGGTGCGTCCCGTCCGCTCGAGCGAATGTAACCGCCGTAGCGGTAGTTGCACAGTATACAGTCGTTCTCATTCAGGCGCTTATAGGCCGCATATTTGCCGGACCTTACATATTATGTATGTACCTGGAAGATAACTCTCCCAAACAAGCTTAAATGAAGCTACACCTACTCATCTCGGAGGCTTACTACGCCGCTTAAACAAAGAGGACGCGGTAATGTCCTGAATCGTATCACAATCGAATCAACTCATTAGGATATGTACATCAAGACTCGACTCTTTGCCCATCTCCTGCAAGGAGGGTTCACTCCAATGTAATCTTGATATGTTAGCTTATGCTCAACAATGATGAGTTTCCTACCTATGAACCTCTCATAAATGAGGCTATATCATGCTGGTCATTATATTTACCGCATCTCAGGCACACAAAAGTTTCTAACCAGAGTTGAGCTTTGCGAGCTAATTATGGGCGGGTATGGTATCGAAGTCTGCTGCTAAGATGTAGATGCGGTAACAGGTTAGACTCCTACAGCTCTCATCATGATGAATGCCATTCTTTTCGAAGTGCGTGATGATTGCCTTTTACTGTGGCATAGCTGAGAACTGAATACCTTGGAGTAACGGCACAATATTCCGAGGGATTGTGGAAGGTCCTCCCGAACTCTCACACCGGTGAGTCTAAAGTCAGGCCGGCTGCAGGCGATGCATATCCGGTTGCATTCCCGCTGCAAGTTATTCTCATGGAACCAGGTTCGCTGATGGAGGGCACCGCGGCATGCATATCCAGTGGTCCTTTCTCCGCACTCGACCCCAACATCTGAAATCTGATAATCTAGCCAAGGCCCCTCGAACAATCCATAAGCCTTGCCGAAAGTGAGAATACTAGGTCGCAAGTGTTCGGTAGAGTCGATCCGTATAGCAGGGAATATAGCTTTCACCTTATTACTCCGATGTGATCGTTTGCTAAGTACATTTCGCGAAATTCAATGGTATGTATCATACCACCTCGATCGGCTTAGGCTCTACAGCAACCTGCCCATCTATCAAGACACGAGTTTATCGTACTCGCTAGCTACCTTCGCGAATGCAGATTGGCAGTAGACCTTTGCGGCTGAGTACTCGTTCACACTGGTATCTCTTAGGTCAATGAAACCATCGATCGAACGGGTTACGGTTACATGCCTACCCTCTCACGGGTATAAAGCCAGGAATCTGGGAGTGATATTGAGACAGTTGGTATATAGTAGCGTTTAATATAACGGCTGGAAAAAAAGCAAGCCTAAGAGTTAGAAGCATAGTCCAAATTGTCAATACTTCTTTTCATAGCGGATCGTGGCGGTTATTCTATTGGGCCCCGTTGGTAGGATCACTAGATTTAGTTGCGATAGTGCAATGTAACGGTCTTTGGCCTCTCTACTGCAGTCTAGTGCCGCGACCGGCTAAAAAATCAGCTACAGCAGGACCCTGATGAATTGGAATGCTGCCCACACTTCGTGTAATGGACATGGCTCCATGATCGTTTCATCTTTGATGCCATCCATAAAAGAATAATGAATCGAATAAAGATGGTAAATATGATTAGTTGGATATTATATATGGTGTTGAAGCAGTTTGATACTGGCACTGATAGGTGTGTTCCTATCAATAAAATTTCCTCCATTGGTGCTAGATATCATGTAACTCGTAAGTATGTACCATTTGGTCAGTTCCACGTCCCACCATGAGAAGGTAACGTTAGCATGTGAAAAATTTACCATGGTATCAGTTTGTACAATTTTTCTACTTCTTTCCGATAAGGGTAGTCCGGCAGCTCCGAGATCAATGAGAATGGCCGACAGGATGGAATTGGGCCGTGAAAGACCGAGGTGTGGAGTGGCGGTGGCCGACCGTTGAGGCTAGAGCATAAGGAGCCGACATTTGGCCGACGTTTCATGGTGAATTCTTTTTGGTGTTGAGCCGCAGTGGAGTTCTCAAAGGGGCATGCTGAGGTTACCCATGGTTTTTGAGGGGGATTTATCATGAACGTTCCTGGCTCACACTTACATAGTATGCTTCACATTCATAACAGATCAGACTCAGGCCATTAAGGACCCATAAATATGGATATTAGCTGCAGCCGTTCCCCTCATCCCCGGCAAGATCCGAACCCAAACGGAGCGTAGTCTCTTCTAAATGTCCGGGTTGGTGTTCTGATCCGTCTTCAGTCTGGCCATCATCGTCTTCTGCCTGTCCAAGAAGAATGTCCTCACTTCCCTGCCATTGAGGGGGCATGCTTGGCATTTCTAATTCATCGTCGTCTTCCCAGCCATAGTCTTCACCTTCGCTATCTGCAACCTCGAAATCGGTTTGACCTAATTTTCGCTTATGTCGCGAAGTTGGGGACAGAGGCAAGGATGCTTGGCTCTTATCCAGGCCCATACCAACAAGACCGTCCTAAGCGGGTCAATATTTCAAGCTAGTTGCGGGGCACGAGTTGACTTACGCTCTGGACATGAAAGGCAAAAACCTGACTGAGGCCCCCCGGGGTCATCTTACCATTCAATTTCTGAATGCCAACAAAGTGGACGTCGTGGACCGTGTTGTTCTCCATTATCCAGTCCCTAAATAGAACTAGCCGAGTAGCAATTCCCTGCTCCCAAGTGCCAGCATTAATAGCGGGGATGAGAGTAGCGCCATGCTCAAACTGCATTCGAGTAGCGCACTGGGACAAAATTACGATGCAAATATCCCTCGTGGCGGAAAGTTTCTGAAGCGTCGAAATCAAGAACTGAAGGACCTGCAACCTTCTAGCCGAAGGTCCTGGCCCTGTACATTATGTGAGCAAGCATCCCGAGATAAGGTTGTGATTATTGCGTAGCATTACCTTTTTGAGCCTGTCGGGTCTCGGAGTTTTTAGGGAAAGCGTAGTTCACCAGGCTTGACAGGGTATCGATTACGACGAGGGATGTATTGTTAGGAATCGCATTTGCTGTAGGTTTGCATATGAGACCGATAAGATGCGCCAGGGTCGGTGCTTGGAAATGGACGAAATTATCCAATTGATCCGCTGTTAATGATGTCGAAACAGAAGTGATCATATCATGAAGCCTACGGGAAGATACCGGATGGAACCCATCTGTGAGATGAATTAATGACTCGGTAACACATAAACCATATTAAACGACTATGGAAATATAATAGACGGCTGGATGAATATGGGCAAAGCAACACGAACCTACCCAAACAACCTTCTCACCCTGTCGTAAGACATTTGCAGCGAGCTGGGTTCTATATCTGACGTTCAGAAGATGCAACAACAGTTATATCATTTTGGGAGCGTCTATACCCGAGGGAAGTCTTTCCAGATCCTGGGGGACCCCATATCTCTATGACTTGGCCTTTCTGCAGGCCACCAGGACGAGGTAAGGTGCTGCTACTCTCACCAATGACATCATTGAGGACTTGGTCGAGAGCCTCAATATTTGTCGGTAAAAATCGTTGGGGATCAGTCCCTAGATCCTCAAGCGCCTGGGCCGCAGAAATAGTTGGCAAGCGATCTATGTCTGGTTAGCACCAGTCTAAAGATATATGATGGGATGCTATTCTTACGAGTCGAAGTTAGATCGAAACTAGATATATCTTGGCCGTGGATGGACGGATAGTCCATTTTAGAATCTGGGGGTAAGCGAAAGAAGGGGTTAATTAATTAATGGGTCGCTGCATAGAATAAATTAAATTACGCAAGTCATATCCTTTACCTTTTTCAAGTATCAGGCGGTAAGAAGTTTGTTGCTGGGGTTGGAGATTGGAGATTGGAGATTGGGGTTGAGTTCCCAAATCTCAGCAGGGTTTGAGCCTCACTGTGACGAACAGCCGCAGCCTGCAGATCAACCGCTGATCATCTTTTAATGTCCCTGAAGCAACTGTCGGCATTGGTGCACGTGACGTGGGGTCCATCAATTACTGATTGTACCTACGTACTTCGTACCTACTTCATTAAATGTGCCCATGTATTCCGATACTCTTACCAAATTATAATTCATGAGACACGTACCTAGTGTCCCGATCGTCCTTGCCGTTGTATTACTTAGTCAGATTCGCCATGCATCAATCACATTTTGATCAAGGAAACCTGATTCTCCCAGCAGCGTCGATCAGCCACATGACGGTAATAATGTTGGTTAGTTCGAAGCTAACAAGCTTAATACCAAGCTAATTGATGAAGAGGGGGTTCTATTTTACAAACGGATATAAACCTCACGGAAATTATCCAACTCAACCCAATAGCATATCTGGCTAACTTGTATCGGTCCTACATATCGAACTAGTTGATGCTTGAGGCTTGAGGCTCCTCTCTTAACCGTATCGGCAATGAGGCATTCCTAGCGCATCTTATGCCATACCTACCTAGGTAGTTCTAGCCCAATCCTGAACGGATCCTAGGCTACAGTTGTTAATTAATTGCCCCCACGAAGAGCCATTTGCTAACAACTTGAGAGATTTAGCTACCGTGGCTACTTCAAATAGTGCTCTTGTACGATTTACTACAATCGTGGAACAATCCGAGTCACAACAATAACTACCCCTTGGTCAGCGGGTAAGGAAAGCATAAACCTATCACCATCTAAAGGAAGCTGAGACGACATATGTGGTTCATCTCAGTCTTACTTACTTCGCACAACCGGATAAAGAAGTCAAGTAAACCTAGGTAGACACTGAAAACAAAAAGAGATAACCTAAACCGGTCCCGACTAGGAGACTTTCTTTCTTTTCGCATTGATGAAGCTAGTCGATCCTCAATGCGGAGAGCTCACAACAGATCTCTATTGGTTCGCGTACCTAACCTCCATGGTTACGCTATCAAGGCTATCTCCAGATCGCAGGCAGGGGATTGATGCAGGTACGTGTCGTGTCGGGGAAAAGTTTCAACTCGGACCAGTTCCTGGGGTCTGGGCCTGTTGAACGCCACAGTCCGGGGCTCCCAGGAAGTCAGCTTACTTCGGAAACATGGAACGGCACTCCTATCTCTCCTATCTCTCCTGAGCCGGTATGATAAGGCGAATAAATGCCTCTCGAAGCGAGACGATATGGTCACCCCGTACACGATCGCACCTTTTACTCTCAGAAAGCCACGTAAAGCTACAGGTAATATCCGAATAATCCATAGCGTATGCTGTCGTAAACGAATTCAGGGGATATACACTTGACTTCATGATGTATTCGAATACACGAGTCAAGGGGCTCATCTCGGCTTAATGGCGAGCGGAGCATGCCATAGCGTACATCGGACCAGCTCGGAGCGACCGAGAGCAGAAGGAAAAACCGGGGAACGATTTACCCGCGGGCAATCCTAGTCCACGATCAAGAAAAGATGGATCTAAGGAGGTGAAACCCCCACCAAAAAGGCCGCACAAGCCTCATGATACCACTGCCGCCCCATACGGGTTGTAAGAATTCCGCAAATCTGGTTTGGCACAAGCGACCTTTTGAAATGCTTCCGCTAGCGTCCAGTTACCTATGTATTATCTGATCGATGAGCTGAGGTATTGTGGTGGGGTAAATATCATCCATTGTTAAGCAAGGTCGTATTATTGCTCTGAGGATTGGGAATCCTAGCTAGCTCGTTGATAAGACTTTCAGGACGAGACGACTCTATGTCGGTGTTCTCGGCTACTACGTAAGCATCACGCGTATGTATGTATATATGTTGACCGGTAATACATATTCAACAAGGTCGAGGACGAGGACGAGGACGAGGACGAGCCTCTCTCCGCCGCACGATATAGCTAAGGGCCGACTCAAACATCAGAGGGTGGCCCGATTGACAGGAAACTCGTTCGGCGGTTGATTAATCTTGCCTTGCCAAGACATCGCGGGACCCCATGTGCGTTTGCTACCATTCACTTTATTTTTATTCTAGAATGTACTCCGGAATATGTAACGGGAATTGAGCTGCAGAGAGAGCTGTTGCGGAGAAGCGCCGCCCTCCGCCTTTCTATATTACGTATGCGTAAATGAGTCTTCTATGAGAAAGGTAGCGACCTCTGTTATCACTTACGAAGCAGGCTCCAGGGAGATATTTTCTAATTCCATCTTATGCCTGGATAAGCCGTGCGTACATAGGTAGTAGTTGATCATGGCATCCATTGTTATGCATCGCATGGTTACATAGGTAGGTATCTAGTATTACTGTATTTATCATATGAGCTACCTACTATACCTGTGGGAATGTTGGTATATAGAGCCATGTTATTTGATTGCTAGAATTCCTTCGAACGGGTCCCTGCATTAAACATTTAAGGAACTGATCTTCTTGCCTACTCCTTGCAGCATAAATATGATATGACGTCTGTGTGTATAACTGTTTGCTAACTTTTAGTCATCTCCTATATAATAAACATGTTAGTTATAATCGTAATATCTATTCCAGATTTCAAATTAACTTGGCAATAATAAGGCTCGTTTGCGCAATTAAGATGGACAAAGAGGTGCTCTTCGGTATGCCTGTCTGGGAAATGAGAACATTGTCTAGGCCCTAAAGCCTTAAGCCTAATGAAGTATAAACTTAGTTTATCTGTGGATCTACGACCCCGGATCAGTGGAAAGTTTAAGTATTATCTTTGTGGGGAAACATGCCTGTGTAGCGAATAAAGTATTTATACTGTGCGTATCTTGCGTATCTTGCGTATCTTGATGGTTTGCGCGCATGTGAGTTGCTCATTTTAGCACCTTTAATAGTTTGTCTCATACGTAACTCCTCGTGTTCACGAAGTCAATCTGAAGTCCCCTAGAATCCGCAATCAAAGCCACAGTCATCAAATTACTTATTGGAAGTTAAAACTACTGTATATTCCCCAGGATAAAGTGGGTTTGTCCTCGAGGCTACTCCCGCCTTTCCCCGGACTTACTTATATGTCTAGGTACCTACCTACACATTATTACGTATAGCCGCATACAAACTTGATGGATTGTCAGGACCACATGAGAATAACAAAAAGCTTCACGAGCATTTGCCCGTCTTCGTGTAATAATCTTGGGTGGGCTGAAAGAAGACGTAGCGATTGGTCTGTCATTAGAGAAAAATGACATGTCGGGTGACAATTAGACGCGAATCCGCTCTTGAGCAAAGGACGGTAATGAATCTTTCGACATTAATATACGCGTAAGGCGACCAACTGATGAACTATATTCTATCTTGTTATGTTCTATCTTGTACTTTCGGACGTATTCCACGACGCATAGCACACATCCATTCTGCCTTCTATTTTATTCATACGGCCCCCCACGTTCTCAGAAAAGCTTGGCACAGACTGGGCTTTCGGTAAACTGGTACCGGGATTCAAACATCAATTACATCAATTACATCAATTACATCAATATTCTGCTCCTTACCGAGGGATGCCGCAGAAGTTAGAAGAAAACCTGCTTCCTTCATCGACATCTTTCTTCCACGCCAGTTTTACCGAGACTTGGGGATTATTAGCTGTGCGATCACGTTCATGTTAGTTGTCGTCAGCACGTGTAAGACCTTATCAGCCACTTTCAAGGGAGCATGTGCAAACCGTGGATCTGGTGATAGGTAACAGGTCCCGGCCTACGTATTCGATAGTCCAAACTATACCTACTACTTATTGAATTTTAGTGGAATGTTGGCCTTGTGAGATGGCAGCGTACCTGATAAGAAGCAAGGCTAACCCCAGGAAGAAAAAAAGTAGTATCTGGAACAAGGCGAAACTTGGACTACACGCTATCTATCATACAAGTTGCACTTGGCATGAATGTCTTACAATACGTGTATACAGATCTTACTAGGGTAGATAGATAGCTTGTGGGGAGAAGCTCTGGGGTACGGTAGGTCTAGTTGTCCAATGCATGGTGACTTTCCTAACCCCTAACCCCAGATTTAGGACGAGTCAGGAACTCAGAAGAGAGAAAGATGGCGAAGATCAAACCCCGAGTCGCCTATCTGCTATCTTGGGAGCCTCTGTTTCGTGCGAATATATTAAGAAAGCTACGCCGTGCTCTCGTAATCGAGCCTGTACGAGTTTGTTGGCTTACTTGCGCTCAGGGCTCAGGGGCTGGGCTTGTTTTGTTTTTTTTTCTTGGTCATCTACAAGTTGTCCAGGTGTCATGTCTGCACGTCTTCTTATGTCAGCCAGCATCTTGCGTTCCGTTAAGAATTCTAGTGCGCTTCTTGATCCACTCATCGGAGTCCATCTGTACTAAACTTCTCAAGTATTGCCGAGTCGACGATGGCAAGATAGCCCTTATCTATCACGCACTAAGAAGCACAACCCGTCGAATGCGGCCGAGCTCGGCCCCACGTTCTCCATATCTTTTTATCGCGGGCCTTTGCAATAATTTTTTCTCCTTCTTCTCGTAGTCTCCGGAGAAGGTGTCATTGTAGTCAGCTCCCACTTAGATGACAGGTAGAAAGACAAAAATAAGTTAATTATTTACTTATTTTTATTAACGAAGATCCTTTGTTAGTCTAGTTACTTGTTCGTTTTATCTTTTTCCCTCCCTTTCCCTCGCCTCGATAAAAAAAAGAAACCGAGGCGGTTTTCGGGACGCGAGAGAATCATCAAAAGCAGCTAGTCGTTGCCGTACAGCCAGCCGCCTTGCCTTTTATCCCCACACATCTCGGTCGTACTATGCCACTACCCAGGCCATCCAGGTGGATGACTTACATTGAGGCTAGTAAGATGAGAATGAATAGTACGAGCTTGGTACGATGGGCTCCTGATCCATTCAGGTGGGATTGGCTTGCGGCATATGCGCTTATTAAGTAATCCAAATAATGCACACCGGTTACTTTTCCTCTCAACAAGCCTTAAGTCTTCTTATTAGTAGCAGTTAGTGATAAG